AATTTCACATGCTTGGAGAGTTTTGACAGCTGAGTCACTCGTTGGTGGGCTACAGCCTCAAGTGAAGTTTGTGTGGTAGAAAACACTGCAGTTCTTACCTACCACACGAGTACCCTCAAGTCTGGAGATGCAAGAAGATGAGTAATCCAGTCTGTCAATCCAAAAGGTCTGCTCTAAAGGCTGCGGGAAACCTTGAAGTTCCCTTTAATCCCCCCAGTCCCTCCCAGCTTGGAATATTCAGTGAATTTGGATGGCTCCAAATGCTGTTTGCCCAAACTGCTGAGCACTTCTGATGTCGAATCTGGTTCCCATCAGGCCACATGATTTATGTTGTACCTATCACACTGATGTGAGGGGCAAAAACTAAGCCTTAGGGCACAGCTGGCTGGGGCTGAGTTAGGAAAAAAAAAAAGTCATTGGGAAGAGGGTGGCAGCATGTGCTCCTTTCAGGCTGTTTGAAGCAGCATTTAAAATGAGGACAGCAGCACCAGTTCAAGTGTGCCTGGTATTGCAGGAGCCCTGTAGCCAGGACAGGCAATCATTAACAGAGGTTCAGCCTGAGAGAACCAGTCCTTAGCAGCGATTAAGGGAGTGGAAAGGCCTTGGCTGTTATAATTTACAGAGCTCACAAAGCATTTCTGTGTGACGGCTGAACTGTTAAAGGATTAACCCCTGGGTCAGGCTTAGGTAGGGCTGCTTGTGCCGAGCTCTGGCCTCCCAGCACTCAGCAATCAGATGAGAACTTACCTCATTTTTCTCACATAGGTGGAGTGCAGCCTGCAGACGAGGGAGGAAGCTCTCCTGTGCAGTGCTTGATACACTGCAGCCATAACCAACACCTACAGCTGCTGTCTCTGCCTAAAAAAAAAGGCATAAAATGTAATGCAGCAGCCCTGCAAGGTTAAGTTTGATTTAAAAGGTGCAATAACCTCTCACTGCAGACTCTGCTGTCTAAAATGATCCCTTCAGTCATATTTCAGGCCAATTTTAACGACTACTTAAATGTACCTCAGTTTGTTTCTATCTCAGGGTGTGCACAGGTCTTACAGAGCTTGCTTATAAATATAAACTTGCTTCCTGTCCCAAATTCCTGTGTCCCTGGGGGAAAGGGCACAGAAGGTGGCTGCTCTTTTGCTGGTTTTCTACACAGTGGTAATGGCCTCGATCCAGCCACATATCCTAGTACAGCACACAGTGGATCTGTGGGAAAGGCACTGATGCCAGGAGAGAGTGAAAGACAAAATGTCAGCTGTGGAAGAGAACTCCCCGAGTTAGACAGAGGACAGCAGTTGCAGCTGAATGTGGGATCATCTCCAGCTTCTTGTGCCAAAGAATCCCACCATGTTTTCAGGCCAGGCAGTCTCAGGCTGCAGCCTGACCTCAGTTTGAGGATGTCAGGAAATAGCCAGAGACAAAAATGAACTGTGGTGCAGAATCCTTAGGGGTCACCGAGAATATTCTGCTCTGCAGCCGCAGAAAGTGAAGCCCCGTACGGAGGAAGAAGTTAGTTTGCTTTGTTACAGACAAAAATGAGCTGTGGTGCACAATCCTTGGGGCTCACCGAGAACATTCTGCTCTGCAGCCACAGAAAGTGAAACCCTGCACAGAAGTTGTTATTTTGCTTTGTTACAGACTCGGGGGCAGTGCCAGGAAGGGTCTCAGATCTCTCCCTCCAGCACAGGACAGCGATGAGAGCCCGAAAAGCGCCCAGCAGAGGCTCCTATTAGCACGGGGAGACTTTGCCTTGGGACGTCTCTGTCCCAGATCCCCTTTCCCCACTGGGACGATCCCTTGGGCAATCGCCGGGAGCTGAGCGCAGAGCAGCTCGCTCTGGAAGGAGCAGCAGTGTCACCAGTGGGGTGGGACACAGGGCTGCCACTCCCCGTGGATCCCGCACTTACGGAGCCAGGGCTGTCCCCAGGAGCAGGGACCAGCTGCGGATCCCGGGTGGCCTCGGCGCCGTGACTCCGCCGGGATCCAGCCGCTCTTCCCCCACCGGGAGCGCTGGGAATTGTAGTTCTGCTTGGCCAGCAGCTCCGCCTTTGGGTTATTCACTCCTGGAGTTTGTTCCTGTTCCTTTCTTTCTTTGTATTTTTTTAACCTTAGCTTCTCTGCCTTTTGTAACCACAGGACCATTACATCCTCTAACAGGAAAAGATGCCAAAAGCTGGATATATCCAAAAGCTGGATATATGGATATATCCAAAAGCTGTACATATCCAAAAGCTGGATAGCCACAAACACCAACAGCTGGATTTGCCAGCGAACAGCTCTGATCAGACCCTGTGCCAGAGCACGTCAGAATAATGACAAATTACTTTCATTCCTTCGCAAGCGAACTGATTCCTCTCGAGCATTGAAAACATTATTCTGGGGTTGGAGCCTACCTGGCTATATTTAGCACAAAGAGAATTTTATAAACATACAAAAAAGTAAATGTTTTCAGGGCAGCTTGTTGCTTTTTGGTCATGAATTGAGCTGTTCTAATCGAGAATTCACGTCATGTTATTTGAGAGCACAGCTTGTAAAAATAATAAACAGAATGTCCAGGGAAACAGTACTCCTGTTACCAGAGTTACTTACAAGTTTCGGTTTAATTATGCTTGACTGCTATTTTTACGCTTCCTGAAACAGAGCAAGCCCAGTCTTATTAATCCACCAAGATAATTGGATTAATGGACAAAACACATCTTCCCTTAATAAGATAAAGGATTGAAATATAATCTCTAGGGGAAGTATCCACCCTGCTGTTAAAACAAACCAACAGATTTATTGACCCTAAGTGCCCCCAGATACGGATCTTGCAAGGAGGGCTGGCTTTGGAGGGAAGCAGCTGGAGGAGATCCTTGGGACATCAAATCTTGGGACAGCCTCTCCATCTCATTCAGTACCCTGTGCTGGGAGCAAGCCTGGGAGTGAAGTGAGAGCCTGGACACAAAAATTAATCTCTGACAGCTTTCTATAGCTTACCAACTCGAGATTTGGCAGGGCCCCAGAGGAAGTAAATCCCAGAAACTCTCCTGATGCAGTAAGAGCAAACCAAAGGAGCAGGAAAAAAGTGCACAGACAGTAGGAACATCATCTCTTACGTGGACAACATCAAGGAAAATCTTTGGTCTTGTGTTGCAAAAATTATTAATTTTTTTTAAAATCTGGGTTTGTAAAATACTCATGTTGGGGTTAAGAGTCAGTAAAAGATTTTTCCAAGCCATAAAAGCAGCTGGAAAACGTAATTCCAGGCTAATAATGGTTATACTACTAATCTTGCTTTTTCTTTCTGTTTTGTGTCTCTCCAGTTGCCCCCAATAAGCAGAAATGAGCATTAGAATTGCTAACAGCTGGCCCTTGTAAAACAGCTGTTAATTGCCTTAAATACGTGAAATGGGCAAACCCACATCGAAAACTTGTGGTCAAGCCACAGGGAACTTCTTGGAAAGAAAAAAAAGGAAAAAGGCCTTTTTTAGGATGAGGTTAGGGAAAGACAAACCACTTCTTTAAAGAGAAAGCTAATGAGTAGTCTTCCCTCCCTATCATTAAATTTTAGATGCAAACTACCCAAATCTGGCTTTTCTCTGAAGTTAGAATCGTGTCTGTCATGTATATGATGGACATTTTAAACAGCTGGGCCTTTTGAGATTACATGGATTGATATACGACTCACCTGTGCCTTAAAAACTGCATGCAGGTTACTGCCCCCAAAAAGATGCTGAAGGTCTGGAAAAAGTTCAACTTGTTGGTGCTTCCCCACTTCCCACCTTACTTCCTAAAAATACCTGGAGAGTGCAAAAGAGGATGAGAAAGCAGCAGAACTTGCTTCTTGAAAAAAATAAATCTGACTGTGCCTCTAGAGCAGCGTGTGAGGTTTTGCCAAATCTCTAGAAGCTGCTGTTAAATCTCTGGCTAGATGTTAGGGACTCTCTGGATAACGGGGCTTTAAATGGATGCTAGAAGCTTGGATATCATTCCAGTGTTTCCTGCTAGTTGTAGGAGTTGTATTTCTGTTGGAAGGCGACCAAAAGGAGAGGAAGGGAAGGCTTATTTTTTGACGGATAGTTCCTCTAAAATCTGGCCTTCTTCCTGCTCTGGCGCAGCAGCACTCCAGTGCTGGCGATGTTGTCAGCTGTGTGGACACATCTGCGTCCACAGCTGGACTAGAAATGACTAAATCCACCTCATGCCCTTGTAATGGGACAAAACACCCGAGGTTTTGCCTTTGCAAGGCGGGTGGGAGCTGAGGTGACAGACTGGCTACAGGGAGAAATCTCACTCGGGGATCACGCTGCAGCCTCCAGTTCCCTCTCCTGGACGAGGTTGTTTTAAGAATTTGTGTTAGAGGGGGATTTTGGCCCCTGTAATGCCTTTGCCAGCTCTCTGGCGTTGTTGTGGAAAATTTCCAGCTGGGAGCAACCACAAATGTGTGCCTTTAAAGGGCTACGCTGGTGAGGAGGTGATCCTTGAAGAGGAAGGGAAAAATGCCTAAGGAATGTCCCTGATTCCAGCTTAATCTCTGGAAGGAACAAATAACCAGTTTATTTATAGAATCATAGAAAATAACGAGGAGGCAGGATTACCTAAAAGTAACATCCTGGCATTTTAGACCTTTTTTTGGCAACTTTTACTCCAAAAACGTCTCTTTGAGGTGATTGTTCCCACAGTCCCGTTGTCCCGGGGGCAGTTCCCAGCCCCGGGAACCGGTACCGGCGCGGTGTCTCGGTACCAGTGCGGTCCCACGCGCGCGGTGTCACCGGGTCGGTGCCGGTGCCGGGTCAGTGCCGGTACCGGTGCCGTCCCACGCGCGCGGTGCCCCCGGCCCGGGGTACCCACGTGGACGCGCGGCAGTGGTAGCGGCGTTGGCGCATGCGCAGTGCCGGGACCGCCGCTGTGACCGGCCTCACGTAGCGCGCGGGCCGCGCTGCCCGGGGGGCGTGGCCTGAGGGGGCGTGGCCAGGCCCGCCTATAAGAGGCGCGGCGGGGCCGGGCGCGCTCAGTCGGTGAAGCCCCCGGGCAGAGCGCGGAGCTCTGGTGTCGACCCCGCCCAGCCGCCCCTCAGTGTCCAGGTGAGGCCTGTCTGCCCCGCCCCGTCCCGCCGGCCCTGGGGGTGGCTGGGCGGGTGAGTTATGGTGAAGAGAGCCGCGGGGCTGTGTAGCTGCTGTGAGGGCGGCAGTGGGTGGGGGCGATACGTGGCAGCGCTCCGCCGCCTTCCCCGCGGCGAGGCACCGGTGTCCCGGGGCTCCCGGGCCTTACGTAACGGGAGCCGGCGGTCTCCGGAGGGGGGCGGGAGGGCGCCGCCGCGCCGGCTTCCCCGCTGCTGGCAGACTAAACACAGCCGCCTCCCTCTCCTCCTCCTCCCGTTCCTGCCGCCGGGAGTTGTCCCCCCCCGGCCGGGCTCGGTCCCATCCCCTGCCCTCCGCTGGCGCAGGTGGGGTCCCGGCAAAGCTGGAGCTGCCTCGTGGCTCCGCGCTGGGAGGGATGGAAAGTTACTCGGTGTAAGCCGAGTGCAGGGATTGCACCGCGGGGAGCGGGGCTTGTCCTGGTTCCCCTCTCTGCTGCTCCGCGTTGGGCTCTGCCAGCTGCTCTGCGTGGAAAGCATCCACCTTTACCTTTACTTTGCATCCAGTAGATGTTTTGATGGGACGAAACTGGGACCTGGAGCCTTGAGCATGCTGGTGAATATAATAAAAATGCCACATGTACTCAGAATAAATCCTCCAGTTTACCTGGAAAGCTGGCTGCTCCTAGAGGGAAGATCCTTCGGGACTGCCCAGCGTTCAGTTTCACTATTTTTTTTTTCCCTGCTGGCTTCAGTGAGAGTAGAATGCAGAGTGCTGAAGTGTTCGCCTACTTAATGAGTAAAGGTTCAGCGCTCGAGGTTTTAGTGAATGAAAGGAGCATTTATTTACTCGGTTACAGTAGGTAAATAAATGCAGCGCCCGGGGCTGTTGGCTCGGGATGCAGACAGTGCTCTGCCCGGGGCGGAAAGTAAAGGTAATGAGTTCCTGGCATGTCTGGGAAGCAGAGATCTGCCTTTGGGGACTGGGATTGTTCCCTGTCCTACTGCTCTACACCCGCTGCTGCTCTCAGACCATTGCTGGCTACATTTTAATGCCTTGGAGCAAACTGATTTGACCCGGGGTACTCTGCGTTGCTTCTGAAGTATGTGCTGACACAACCAGCGCTGATGAACTTTCATTCTCTTCGCGTTCCTCCCCCAAGCCACTTCTCTGACCTGTGCAGATTTAAATGTTATTCCATAATGAATGTTCCATAGCGTTTAGAGCTGTGGTTTTTTGGGGCTTGCACGTGGAGTGCAAAGTGCCTGGTGCAGTTTGACAAACTGAAATGGAAGGAGTGAGGATAAAGAGGTTTATAGCAGGAAAACCATGCCTTCGTGCTGAGGTTGATATAGATAAGAAAATCTTTTTTTCTTTAAAAGAATGTACTCTCTGGAAAAACCCAGCTGATCATTGGCATCGTCCTGCTTCCTTTATAATCGCTCTCAATATCTGAAAGCATTCTGTGTGTCTGTAGATGCTCAGCTAATCCTTGAACAGAAGGAAAACCTCCTGCCTGTTGTGTCTAATAAGATAATTGCTCTATTTCATCCCCAGTGTTCTTTGTTCTGGGAAGTTAAAACAAGTGGGCTCTGAGGGCTGTGTCCATTCAGTCTGGGGGAAATCAAGGGAGAACTCGCTTCAGTTCCCTGCGTTCAAATCTCTGTACAAACACATCTGCTCTATATTCAGCTGTGAACCTTGTCTTCAACTTGGTAGTAAATGATAGACAGAACACCCTACTTGACTTTGAAATTAATTCTCATCTCTTTTTAGGTCATTATACTTTTCATATATATGAAAGGTTATAACTTTGTCATTAAAGGACGCCTAAAGCACCCCCTGTTCTTTTGATGGCAGCTATTGTAGAAAACCTTTATTTTCTCATTGCTTGGATCTTAACTTTAAAACAGCCTTTAAGCGTGCTAGAGGACTTGGGAACTGGATCCTGGTGCTTCTGTCCTGTGAGACCTTTAAGCAATGATGACAGCTAAATGTTCTTAATGCTTATTTTGGGAAAGTTCTTTCCTTTTCTGTAGTATTTTTGGTCACATTGTGTCATGAGACTGTAACTTGGGTTGTCCTTGACACAGGAGAGGTTTAGTGCAGTGAGCTTCTGGTTCCATCTTCTCCATTTCCCCTAAGCTCAGCTTAACTGGTCAAGGAGTTTTATTATTATTTTTACATACATGGGGAGTCCAGTAAGGATTGTGAGAGAATGGATCCATCTTTAATTCAAAAGTTGAGGAGGATCTTGGTGATGGAGTCCACTGCAGGGTCAGGAGACAAAACTCTATCTTGAGCAGGCCAGTTCCTTCTTACCTAAATAAAGAAGCTGGTTTGGAATTCCATGTTGAAGTACCCCCTCAATTTCCATTTTTTATCCTGTTTTCTGAATCCTGATAAGCATCTGGGAGCCTGGAGTTGGCAATGAGGAGACTTGGCTAATGAGCATCCTCAGTCTTTGGCCACTGAGCAGTGAGACCTTGGTTGTGATGAGGTTTGTGTCACTCTGCAGCTGTCTTCACTTGTCTGCTTGCATCTTGTAAAGCAGAGCTGAACGCTTGGGAAGTCCTCAGAAAAAAAAAAAAAAACAACTCTGGTTGCAATGGTGTTTGTTGTGTGCTCGGAGAATCCTGTGCTCGCTTGGCAGTGCCATTGCTCTGCTTGCTGCTTTATTTCCCTTCTGTCCCTGCGTTTCTTTGCTCTTTACTATCCCTTCTCCTTGCCCCCATCACGTTTTCTGCTCTGCCACGTTTTGCTGTTTCAGGCTCACTCAGTGCACGTTCCAGGGAGAGGCAGGAAGCTCCCGTGTTGGAGCTGTCAGCTGGATCCCACATCTCAGCGTGGGCAGTGATCCCCTCCTCCCCGAGATGCTCAATTTGTGGGACACGGCTGAGGGGGAGGGCGAGACTGACAGGAATAATAGAGAGAGAATTTTCATCTTGTTTTACTTCATGTCACCAACGGGAAGAAATTAAAGCCTACTTATTTGGCAGCCTGTGAGTCCAGGAGATTTCCAGCCTCTATATGAGCTGAGCTGTGTTTTCTTTGATTTGGGAGCCTGTGGCTGATCCTGCTGCAGTGGTTGGAAAGCTCTGCTCCTTCTGGAATTCTTCCAAGAATAGGAGACCCAGTTTCTTCTAGTGCCTAAGTGTGAGAAACTTTGTGTTTTTACCTCCTTATTATTGCCCTGGTGGCATTTTTGTGGCTGTCGCCAGCCATTCCTGCTGTGTGCCTGTGGAGATAAGGAGGTGGGAAAAAGGGTTGCAACAGTGTTTGGAGCAGGCTGCAAAGGCAGCTGGAGAAGAGGGAAAACAAGATGGAACACTGCACTGAGAGCAGTAGGTGGAGAGGAAAATGGTTTTCTTCATCTTTTCGGTGGTTTTGTTTGTTGGTTTTTCTTTGTGCTTTTGAAAGTTTCATCTTGATTAATAGTGAGAAAGGAAACTTTCTGAAGCTTCTCTTGTGTTTCACTGAGTGCAGTAAACAAATAGCTCAGTGCATTCCCAGTACTGATAAAATTGGCAAATATTTATGGCTGTAGTAAAGCTGTTTGTGCTTTGTCACTGATTCACAGATGTATTGGCTCGAGTGCTGAAGGAGCAGGAGGCACTTGGCTTTCTGCAGGGTGACATAGGAGCTGAGTGGTGTTTTCAGTGAGAGTGGAGGTGGATATCACTGGGGTTTTATTAGCTATGCTTGAAACAGTCTTGTTGGCTGCCTGTGAGGAGGAAGAGGTGAGGAAGGCTGCTGTGGGCAGACGGGCTGCTGCTTTAGAGAATTGGTGAGGGGAAAAGGGGGGCTCCAGGCTTCTCTCTGCAAATTCTCACTTTCACGGGCAGAAAACGAGTTGTGATGTGCCAGAATGCATCGGCCCTTCAGTTGTGGTCACACAGATTTTTTGGGTGGTTTACAAGAGCTGGAGGTTGTGCTGCTTTTCTGGGCTCGTGTGAGTTTCCTGTTGTTGCTGTTGGTGCCAGTGGAGCTGAGCTTGTCCTGTCCAACAGAGGAAATCCAAACCCCAGCGCCTCTCCTGCAGTGCTGGAGGTGGAAAGGACAGGGAGGAGCTGCCTCCTGACCCCCAGGTATGAGCAGCATGAGGAGAGATCCTGCACTCTGGAGGTGCAGATTATTAACCCTGTTATCACCACCACCCACGCTTGGGATGGCTTTTATTTGGGTGCAACTTTTGAACTTCCCTGATTATGTTTGCACATTCGCTGTGTGAATACCACACCTGGGTCCATGTTGTTTGCTTGGTTAAAGTTATTCTGCTTTCTTCCCTAAATAGGCCAAAGTACCTTGTAGCTGAGCTTGTTGCTTTTTTCCTTTTTTCCTTCATTGGTTGTGCTGTTGGAAGAGTTATAAACCAATTCCTGTTAGTCTAGGCACTGGAGTTCTTTTTTTTTTTTTTCTGAGCAGATACAGAAGACAGAGTTTGAGCTTAAGCTTTTGTTTGGGGTAGGGGGGGATAAAAAAGCAAACCTTGTGAATTCCACGACAGCATAATTACTCCTAAAGTATGCAGGAACCAGGCAATGCTGGGCTGCTGAAGGGATCAGGATCCTGAAAGGCTGAGAGCTTGGCAGCTGGCCCTACAGAAAGCACTGCCTGTGAGCCTGCCATGGGCTTAGCCAGGATGCAGGGACAGACAGAGCAGCTTTTTGTGTCAGGTGTGGAGCTTGGCTGCATGGTGGCAGCAGGAGTGTGCACACAATTCCCTCCCTGGACTGCTCCTGTAGAGGTTTCATTCAGACCTGTTCCACTGGCATCTTTCTGACTGAAAAAAGGAAACTTTTTTTCCCCATTGAGCGGATGAACTTGATAATGACGATTTTAAATTTGTGGGGTTTTTTTCAGTTCTTTTTGCAAAGCAGCTCTACCTGCAGCATGACTTAGATGCCAAAAAGAAGAGTGCTGGTGAACACCTTGTCCCTGAGCCGTTCTTTCTTCTCTTGCCACACGAGGCAGGTATAAAAGTCAGCAGGAGGGACCCAGTCTGTGAGAGCTGCTCAAGGTGTCAGGGTGCTGCAGCCCCAAGAGACTGAGCTGCCTCTTCTGAAGGTGCATTCATCTCTGGTGAGCAGGGATTTTCACCTGTTCTGTGTTTCTCTCACAGGTGTGTGGTGAGGTGACAGCAATGGCATTTAAGAAGGTTTGGTGTGCCCTAGCCCTGGGGTTCCTGCTGCCTTTCTCTTGTGCCCACACGGACTTCTTCACTTCCATTGGTGAGGCTTGCTTTGGTGTAGCCAAAAGACTTCTTTGACAGCCCTCAAAAATCACTCTGCAACAATGGGTTAATCATCCAAGGCCCTAATTGGTACAGGACTAAACCCACTTCCTAGTTCTTGCCATGTTATTGGCTTTTTTTTGGGGAGGAACTGGTTTGAAGTCAGTCCAGGGGTAGTCTAATGACCCAGGCTAGGCCTTGTAGTGACCATTTATTCTTAGGAGGATTGGAATTGAAGCAGAATTTTGGTGCTGCACTCATGTAGAAGGAGGTGGTGCAGCTGCCAAGTGTGCATAATGGTGCAATAAGTCTGGATTCACCCTTGGGTTCTGGTGGGGCACTGCACCCCTTTGTGCTGGACCACTTCAGCAGTTTTTAATACCAGAGACCCCTTGAAGTCATGGATATAATCTTAAAAATAAAGCCCTGGATTAGTGCTGTGTATCAAACATGAAGGCTTTTTGTGTATCTGTAGCTTTCCCTTTGTTTGCTCTACATTATGTATGCTTGGATGAAAGATTACTCTGTGGCAAACTATTTCCTTTTCCAAATGAATCCTAAATTAGTTCTAATAATAAATATGCAGTATTGCATTAATTTCCATGGTAACAAGCTTGGTCAAGCAGGAGATTTTCTCCTTCAAAAAAAACAAAAAAAATAGGCCTTACTCAGCTGTTCCTTCAGGGTTGTTTAAGTAAATGTAGAAGGACTTTGGGGAAGGGAGAAAGTAGAAAAGAGGAAGTTTTCATTCTCAGGGGTTTGTCTTTCTCCTTGACTCACCAAACTCATTTTTTTCTAGGTCATATGACAGACTTAATTAATACAGAAAAAGATCTGGTCGTGTCACTCAAAGATTACATCAAGGCAGAGGAAAGCAAGCTGGAGCAGATCAAAAAGTAAGCATCGCTGTGATAATGCTAATGGTCAATCATTTGAGTCCACCTTTGTGCAAAAAGTGCTTCCTTAAGGCTGATTAAATTTGTGGAATTTTTCCTCTGGGGCAAAGCTTAAAGCAGCAGGTTTTGCTGGTGCTGTTCTCTTTCAGCACTGCTTGGTGTATAAATAAGAAAAGACCTGACCATGTGAGGAGCAGAGCCCAATATGTCAGATTTTATCACAGCTAGAAAAACATGTTTTATCACTAAACAGGATGCTTTCAGAAATATGTCTAAATCTGCCTTGAGGGTGTTGAAACAGTTCTAGATGGAGGAGTTGGTTTTATTTTAGCCTTTGTGTATTATTTTCTGGTGTTCACCATCGGGGAAGAAAGATCCTTCTTTGTCACTTAAAATCCAGGTTGGGATTGTTACAAGTAAATTTTTCATGGCTACAAATTAACATGGGAATGTGCCAGTTGGGCATCCAAAAATGTGGAAACATAACTTGTTGCAGAACTGGTGCAGCTCTGGTTTCATTGTATCTCCTGTGAGATATAAATGGAGAGTTTAAATGAGTGGCACAGCACTATTAAAGGACCTGGGGGAAAAATGGCAGCGTTGTTTGTTGGCACCTGGAGGGTATTGGGAGCTGGTCCTGCAGTGGGAAATGCAGGGAGGGTTTGTCCCCAGTGTGAAGGCACAGTTTGAAGTTGGTTTCAAAGACTGGAGAAACCAACTTCAAGAGTTTGAGGTTGTTTTCTTCAGTCTTTTTGGCTTGGTGTGAACTGGAGTGGGTCCCCAGCAGCACCTCTGGTTTGGAGGGAGCCCCTCACTGGTGTGGCTGCTGGGAGAACCCACCCAGGGACTGTCAGGGTGCAGGAAAACAATCAGGAACAGTGTGGGAAGAGCAAAAGCAGCCAGAGGCACCTCTAAGAGCTGTGAACGCCTCCCTGCCTCAGGTAAAGCCTCTGGATTCCATTCAGGCAAAGCAGATCCCGGGACAAAAGGAACTCCAACTCATGGGCAGGGTTCCCTCCAGGCTACACATTCTGGATTTGTTTTCTTGTTCAGGACTCTCTGTGGAGTGTGGCTCTTCAACGTCAATTTATCCTGATTGCAGGGTGTTGTTGCACATCTTCATGTTGTAGATCTGGTTTTGTTTTTTTGAAAGCTGTGCTTGTTTTGGGGCAAGTTGGGGTTGTGAATGACTCGTGGTACTTAGAGAAGTGTGAGTTGGAGCTGCAGCACCAGAAACTGGGTCTGGGCTCCTCATTTGGGAGTATACACGTTTCTTCATCCAAGCTTGCAGCATGGAAAGGAGCTTTGTGGTGAGAGGCAAGGGGCACCTCACAGATGTGTGTGTCTCTAAACCTAAAATAATTTGAGACAAGCATTGAACTGCCTTTTTGTAAGCCTTAGAGGGGAAAAGGGGCATTTGAAATATTGAAAATGTGGGTAAAGCTTTGGTTTTGATCAGTCCTGCATGATCCAGCTCATAATGGAAGTGCTGGCACTTTTGGGGCTTGTAGGAAGGAGTTCCTTCAGCAGGGCTCCAGGAAGGACTGCAAGAGCAGCACAAGATTTGGGCTGCAGCTGAGGAAGAGGACTTAATAAAAGAAAAGGAAGTAGCCCTTTTTCTTCCTTTTAGAAGAGCTCTAAATATAGATAATGCAAAAGCTTGCCATTTCCATTGGCTGTTTATTTAGTGAAGACATTTGAGTAGTTTGCAATCAGTTCTGTAGCACACCAGCAGACTTCCCTCTGTGAGGCTTTAATGAATATTTTCATTATAGATGGGCAGAGAAGCTGGATCAGCTGACAGATACTGCCACCAAAGACCCAGAGGGGTTTTTGGGCCATCCTGTCAACGCATTCAAGCTGATGAAAAGGCTCAACACAGAGTGGGGTGAGCTGGAGAGCCTGGTCCTCAAGGACATGTCAGATGGTGAGTGTGTGTGCCTGCAGCAGGAACCAGCATCACAGCCTCACTGCAGCTACTGGGCTGTTGCCTTTCACACATGCCAGGGCTTGAGTTAGATTTGCAAATCTGCTTTTGAGACTGAGCATTTGTGGAACTAATCTGAATTAGTGTAGTAAACGCTTAATTCCTGCCTCTTTTCTCCAGCAAGAGTGGAAGCTCTTTAGCAAGGAACAGGACATAAAATAGTTGACTGTGAAAGACACTTAGCAAAAGAAAGCCAGGACGGTTATATTAGACTTGTGAGATTCTCAACAGCTAATTAATACCAGGTGGAGGTTTGTAGTAAGGAATTATTAGAAAGCAGAGCTTTAAGAAAGACCCAGGATTAGTCTCTGATAAGGATTCAGCACACTCAGCTTCCCTGTTGCTGTGAGAGGGACTGAAAATGGCAACAGAAAAGGCTCTGCACCTGCCAGCCAGAAATCTGCACCAGTGTGTTTTAAGCCCTTCTGAATGAGTGGGGTAAAAAAAAATAAAAATGTTTATTTTTGATTTTTTTCGTTTGCTTTCTTTTAAAAAACCCCAAACCAAATGCAAACTGTGCAGCCTGTGCTGTGAGTTCAGTTCAGACTTGTGTGAAGGTGGATTTTGGCTTTCCCTGGAGCAGGGAGTTCATACAATTCCCATGACAGAGGTGACCACATGTTTCCCTGTCCTTCCTTCCCAGGTTTTATCTCCAACATGACAATCCAGAGGCAGTTCTTCCCCAATGATGAGGATCAGACTGGTGCAGCCAAGGCCCTCCTGAGGCTCCAGGACACCTACAACCTGGACACAGACACCCTCTCAAGAGGGAACCTGCCAGGTGAGAGCCACCCATGGTTGTTATTTTGCATTTCCTAAATGTCCTGATTACAAGTCCTCTGCTCTGTTCCACCTTGTTTAACTGCTCAGCCATTAGGAAGGGGTTTGAGCTGGCTAAAATGAATGGAAAAAAAAGGGTTTTTTTGGTTGAAGTCTGCATCTTTCTTTTAGCTATGGTAAGATAATTTAGTGTTAATAGTTTTTAATAAAAATCAATGGCAATGAAATCTTGTCTGGGTGAGGGTTTGCCCTTGTGTTGCACTGGTAGATGCCTGGTTTTTTTCTGCACAGCTTAATGCATTTTAACAAGTTCCTTTGAGCTTAAACTTCAGGGACTGTATAAACTGAAGAGCAGGAGATGGTGCACACACAGACCTGAGCCTCTGTGGCATTGCCTGAGCTGATCTTTAAAAGGTTGCTCTGTGCAGGAGAAGACACAACTTCTTTTTTTTTTTTTTTGGTCAGAAAACTTTCTCTGCTCAGTCTTCCTTGTTTCCTCTGTTCAAAAACAGTCCTGTGCCAGCTGGCAAAACATCAGCTCTGTACAATCCATCTGTGTTTTTGCAAGTGCTCATTGTGGTCAGATGCCTAATAAAATTAAGGGTAATTGGCTTTATGTGTTATGATGTATAACCTTGCTCTTGGGTTTGGTTAAGGACCTACAGATTCCTCCTAATGCAATGAGCAGCTTATTGCAGTTTTCTTCAAACAGCACAGAAATGCAAGGTGCAGTTTTGCATCTTTTGAAGCCATGAGCTGACCAGACTGTGTGTACAGTGAAATGTAATGGCAGAACCTGGAAGTTCTGGAGGATAAAAGGGAATAGTTTGGACTCTGGAGAGCTCCAGAGAGGAACTTCCCATGTGGTCACTTGTTTGTGCTCCTTTTCTTCACTCTCAGGGAATTTTTGGTCCAGAATCTCAGCTACTGCCAGATCTTTGTGTCCTTTGAGAGTTTGCAGATTCAGGCTCAGGAAGCTGCAGTTGCTGCCCATCACAGGGTGGGCACAAGGTGTTCAGGGAGGGAGCAGGAATGAACAGCAGAATAATTGCCCTATTTGAGCACTGAAGATCTGCTGTTAGAAACTCAGAATGGATTAAGATGTAATCAGGGATGTAATTTTAGCTGTAACAGTGGCGGGGCCCGTTTCCCTTTTATAAGCTTAGATTTGGTTTTTCATAGGGCCTGTATTTCCAGAGGCAAAAAACAGGAATCTGTAATTTGCCTACTACTGCTTTAATCTTTCAGAGGTCACTTAAAATGTTTCTAAAAATGACTGACTTGAAAAAATCCCAAGCAGCTGGGAATTTACTCCCTGATGTTTTCCTTTTCCTCCCCCACCAAGTTGTCACTAACAAGTCGTGGTTCAGTAAAATTTTGAAAGTGATAATGTGATGTCCTTGAAAACAAGAGTTCTGAAGCTTCAAATTTGGCTTATTTTTGCTCCTGCTGGAAGTGGTTGGGGTTTTGAGGAAGGAAGGTTTGTTTAATTTAATTTTTCACCAGTGGCTGAGACATTTAGCTCTTCGCTGGTATTCTGGCAGTGGAAAGCTGCATCTGAGTGTTCCTTGTGTGCCAAGGATTTATAGGCTTTAGAGACTTCAACAAGCAGCTACTGCAGGAGGGAGCTGTGGGAGAACAGAAGTAAAACCCTGCTGTGAGGAATGAGAAATAACTCAAATATTTCTTGGAGGACTGGCCTGGAGCCCTGTGTAAACTCTGTTTTGTTTTAAATACCCAGGTGTGAAGCACAAATCCTTCCTAACAGCTGAAGATTGCTTTGAGCTGGGCAAGATTGCCTACACAGAGGCTGACTACTACCACACAGAGCTGTGGATGGAGCAAGCCCTGAAGCAGCTGGATGAGGGAGAAGTGTCCTCTGCAGACAAAGTTTACATCCTGGACTACCTGAGCTATGCAGTCTATCAGCAGGGGGACCTGGGCAAGGCCATGGCACTCACCAGGCGCCTCCTGGAGCTGGGTATGGGGCACAGGGACACAGCTCTGCCTGGCTTTGTCCTGGGGAGTGCAGGCTTGCCTGGGATCTGTGCTTTTGTCAAGTGCATTTTTACATTTTAGATGGGGGTTTGCTCCTTTGTATTGAAGGGTTTTCTGCCTCCCAGCACTGTTGGCTTCTGGCTCTTTACCTGTCTGAAATCTGGTTCTCTACATTTTGCTTTCTGGGTTGAGATTGCTTCCCCTTAGGTAGAGGCAAAACCAAAACTAACGAAATTGAAACTAAATTGGTAATACTGAAATCTCTGCAAGTGATTTAAATACAAATTCAGCATGCTGAAGCTGAAACACTTGTAAAAACAAGAGACGTGGAATACAGGACAGTGAGATAAGAGTTTGTTTCATGAAAAGTGAAAATGTTTACTCTTTTGTAAATACTTCACTGACTGACTGTGTAAGGAGCTCAGAACTAACCCTAACATAGCAAAAGCTACTGAGATCCACTTAATAAAGAACTGAAGCTAATTCTGTAAGTTAAAAAGCTTTGTCACCAGAAATTTTAAATCCCACCAGGGAATTTTTAGCTTTACAGCCATTTGTGCTGTCCCAGCTCTCTCCCCGTCCTACTCCTTTGTCTCTCCCTCTCTAGTGAGATGGGTTAAAGTGGCCAAACATCTTCCCTCAGTGCTGGGAGCCCTGTTTGCAGTCAGGGTTGTTTCTGTTTCCTTTTGCTTTTGTGAATAACCACTTCTGGATGATTCCTCAGGGACTGGAAACCTGCCAGTGATCCCTGTCTGTTTCTCTGTCCCTAGACCCTGAACATCAAAGAGCAAACGGCAACATGAAATACTTTGAATACATCATGGCTAAAGAAAAAGAAGCAAACAAGTCCAGCACGGATTCAGAGGAGCAGCAGGAGAAGGAAACTGAGGTTAAGAAAAAGGATTACCTGCCCGAGAGAAGGAAGTACGAAATGCTGTGCCGTGGGGAGGGGCTCAAAATGGTAAAGTGGAGTAGACTGTTCTCAAATGTTTGAAACCGAACAATGTCAGGAATTTGTGTGTGGTGTGCAAGCAAGGAAGTTGTTAGAGCAGCTGGATGAGTGTGCAGAGTTGAGGATCTTGTGTTGGATTTCTTCCCTGTTTCAGCCTGTGCAGTAGACAGAAAGTAACGCTGCCCCAGGCACTGCTGGCTGTCTTGGGTCTGCTCCATCAGTGTCATTAATTGAATAAGGATGCTGGAAGTTTGGAGTTACAGACAGAATTAAATAAGGGGTGGTTTTTTTAGCCAGAAAATTTTCTTAGTATGGCTGTGTAAAGCAATGCTTGCTGAAGTGTTGCACAGCAACGTTAATGTGCAGACAGCACTGGCTTCTCAAACTGAATTCATCTCTTTAACCTCTCACATAAGCGGCTGGGGAGAACAAATTGTTTGTTGTGTTCTGTGCTTGGAGATACCGATGTCCCTGGGAGTTCCCTGATTCCCCCCCTTGCTGTGCCTCCCTTGCAGACTCCCCGGAGGCAGAAGAGGCTCTTCTGCCGTTACTACGATGGGAACAGGAATCCCAGATACATCCTGGGCCCCGTCAAGCAGGAGGATGAGTGGGACAAGCCCCGCATCGTGCGATTCCTGGACATCATCTCTGACGAGGAGATCGAGACTGTGAAGGAGCTGGCAAAGCCCAGGGTAAATGCTTTACATTTCCTTGCCTTTGGAATCCTGAATTCCACGTGGATTTGGTGTGAGTGTGCCTGGCTCCCTCCTCTGGAGTGCAGTGGTGTGCTCACACCTCGCTTGCTTCACTTTCCAGCTCTCGGTGACACCCCATGGAGACAGGGAAAAGCTGGGAATTCTCTGTGCTGACTGGAGCCAGGTCACAGCAGTGCAGGATTGTCAGGCTCTTCCAGCAGACACAATTTCAGCTGGCTCAGATGAGGAGGAGAGCGTTCTCCAACAGAAAACAAACATAAAGCAATGAGGGTGTACTGGAGTATTCCTGACTTGTTTGGTTTTCTGCTTTTGTTGTTTTCCTTTCCAAGTCTGGAAGGGAAAGGCAGCCATTCCTCTGGTCCTGGAATGCCACCTGATTGGATAGATGAGAAAGAATGGTTGTGTTCTCCATTTTGGTATAAGACTGGCTTGTCTCCCAGGCTTGGAAGCTGCCTACAGATGAAATAACTTTAAGAGGACAGAACTTAGTTGGTGGATTTTGCCTTCTTATTGATGATGGTGGCTCATCAACCCTCTTTGAGATACTGGATGCAAAGGTTCTTGTTTCTCAGTGAGGAATAAGCCAGGGCAGCTCCACTGTCTGGAGTGTCCAAGGCAAGCAGCAAACTGATGGATGCTTTCTGTATCCAGTTGGTGCAACTCTGCATCTGCAAATGCACATTGAAGATATAGTTAGTTAAGTTAATTAATTTTTCCATCCATTCTAAACTAAGACTTGTAGAAATGTAATTTTCCTGTTTTTTTTCCTTTCCTTTTGGCCTCAATGGCTTTTTGTCCAGAATGAGCTGAGCAGATAGAGATGAGGGGAATGAGATCATTCAGTGCAGGAGAAGCTGCTGGCTTGGCCTGCTGCAAGGTAGAGCAGCTGTGGTTGTACCTGGGCAGTGAGGCTGTCCTTGGCCTACCAGGGAGCCTGAAGGGAATCTTAAAGCTCCCTGAAGCCTGAGGTGTAGAAGATTGGGAGGAATTTCTTCAAATTGAAGAGTTTGTCAGGCATTTGCAGGGCCTGCCCAGGGAGGTGGCAGAGTCACCATCCCTGGAGGTGTCCAAGGAATGACTGGACATGGCACTCAGTGCTCTGGGCTGGATGGCAAGGTGGGGATGGATCAGAGGTTGGATTTGATTATCTTGGAGGTCTTCTCCAACCTCAGTGATTCTGTGATTATCTTCTGAGGTTTCTGGGCCGTAAGCAGGAAGTGTAAGCTTTTCCCTGCATGTACCTGTGAGGCATCTCCTCCTGCTGCCCTGCCAGGCAGCTTTGCTGAAAATCAGAGCCCCCATTGCTGGTCTGGAGCTATTGGAGCTCCTTTGCTCATGCATGATGCATTCCACACCTGTGGAATGTGACCAGAGCACTCCTTTACAGAGTAGAAAAACTGTAAATGTGTGACTGCAAGCTGTGAACTTGCTGAGGTCGCTGTTTTCCTGTCAAACACTCGGCTCATGGCAAAGACTTGGAGACCTTTATGGCAGGAGCATTTGTATGCAGTTACTCTTCCCATATTCCCTGTGGCTGAGGCCTTGCCTGGTTCAGCAGCAAAAGGATTTTGTTCTTGGAGACCTAAAGGTCATCTCCTCCTTCCTGCTGCTTGAGATGCTGCCATCCTCTGGGAAGAGACAGTGCTGGCTGATCTGTGCCCAGCATTCTGCCGTGCTGGCAGGATGATGCCTCATTATTCAGCTCCGGAGTCTCACTGGAATTGTAATTTGTGCCTTGGTTTTTAATGTGTCAGCATGGGAGGAGAGGCAGCATGCTGGGAGCTCCCAGTATCTTTTCTTGTCAGTAGGTATGGAGAGGCCTTGGCTTGTTTGGTTAATTTTAACAGTGCAGAAATGCTTCTGATTGTTTGGACAGTTGGCATGGCATTGTGTCTTTTGCAGAATTTGGGCTCTGCATCTCAGCCTTTCCAGTTATGAGTGGTGGAGAGTGTCTGGTAGTACATGAACAGAGTTAAAGGGCACGTGTGAGGTTCTGAGTTGGAATATTAACACAGATGGGAAGGCACGGAGTAAATGGAGCACAGCAGAGGGAAAGGAAAGCCTTGAGCCACTCTGTGAAAATGTGACCATGGGTGAAGCAGAAGTTTGTGAGAGCTCAGAGGAGCTCAGTTCTGCTTTTGGTAGAGGAAGGACCGAAAAGGAATGGTTTATTCACCTTTGGCTTATGGTGCTGCCTGGATTCAATCTACCTGTCAAACTCTTCATCCAGGGGCAGGACAGTGTGACAAAGCACCACTTGTCCACGTGCCACAGCAGTGCTGCTCCCAGGGCATTTCAGTACAAATGAAATCCAGGCTGCTGTAGTTTGCTTTATTCGGACAACTGTTGTTGCTGCAGATATGGAAAGAGGACTTGTGGAAAACCTTAAAAAAACCAATCAGGAAACAAACCTTTGTTTTAGTGAAGCTGCAGCCTGCCCCTGGTTCCCCTGGCCCTGCAGCCCCGGGTGGCAGGCAGAGCAGGGCACGGTGCCGGGGCGGTGGCGGCTCGGTGGCATTGTCCCCTCCAGCCCAGGCTTCTGAATGGTCGGATTGCTGGGATGCAGATTGTGCTTGTAATGCAACTTCTGATGGTTCGCTTCACAGCTGAGGCGAGCCACCATTTCAAACCCCATAACGGGAGCCTTGGAGACGGCACATTACAGAATTAGCAAAAGGTAAGAGAGCTCTATGCCAGAGGTTTTGGGCCTGTCATGAGTGTGTACATCCTGCTCATTCTGAGGAAACCAGAGGTGGGCTGAAGACTTTGTAGTCCACCTTGTGATTCCATGCAGATCTGTAACAGGCTGGTACTGCTGAGTTTCTCAGTCTTTCCCTTCAGCTGGAAGTTCTGGGGGCGTGTTTTGATTTGTTCTTTCCTTTTTGGTTGCCTCCTCAAGTCTGTTTTTTCAAGTGCAGTCAGTGTGAGAAATACAAGATGCCACAAAACCTTCAGTAAAATCTGGTTTTTGTTTTTAATCTCTACGTTCCTTCCCCCTTGCTCTTCTTACAACCAAGAATTGTCTTCCCTTTCTTTGGAAAATGTAGCAGACCTCGAAGTGCCTTAATAGGTGTAAGAAATGCTTCAGGCCCTTGCTGTGCACACAGACACACATCTCCTTGTCCAGGATAATCCCACACTCCCAGCTGGGCTCCTTTACCTCCTGCCTGATATAAACCTGGCAGAACACAGGCTCGCTTCCACTGGGCTCCTGGTTCTTTTCAGCTTGTCCATTAAGTGCTACAAGTGCTGAATTTAGCCAGTGCTTTCCAAAATTGGCTGGATCTGAAAGAAACCACCTGCCCCTGCCTGCCCTCCCCTGGTTTTAGCTGTGGTAATTAAAGATTGGCTGCACAGGCCATCAGCACTGAGCCAAAATTCTGGGAGGAGTTAAAACTTCTGGGTGAGGAGGAATTGTCTGGGAAACTCAGCATCATAAATTACTTGTAGAAAATCTTGATTTTTAAACACACATACAAAAAAAAAAAAAGGAAAAACAATAAAGGGAGGAAAAAAGTGAAAGGACAATCTAACCAAATTATTCCAACCAATTTGTTGTGATTTGGACATGGCAGCTGCAGCTTGTGTTGCCCTTCCAACCATTGCTAATATGCGAGCATCGCATCCGGACCAATCGGAACCCTTTCAAACACCTGGGGCTTGGCCAAAAAGCAGCCTGCAAGGTGGGTAAGCCTTGTCCTTTCTCTTTTTGTAGCTGAGCCGTGCTACTGTTCATGACCCTGAGACTGGGAAACTGACCACAGCACATTACAGAGTCTCTAAGAGGTAAGGGGAAGGGATTCCTTGGCTGAGGAAGTGTGTCCAGGGGCTGTGCTGAACGTGGGCAAGAATTTTGAGTAACTTTCCTTATTCCTTGGCCTTCCTTTCAAAGCAAGCTGAGCTGTCACATAACAAAGCCTGGGGTCTGCTGAAGCAGAGATTGGTTGTCAGTGGTGGCATTCCAAGGTGGAAGTGCCCTCTGTGGCTGAGCATGGCTTGTGTGCTGTGACTAACATACTAAACGTGGGCATGGGGCTCTGCTGGCACCCAGTGCAATGGGGGCACCTCCCTGCCTCACCTCTGCTCCTCAGCTTCAGTGTCCACGCCTGCCTAGAGCTAGGAGCTGCTGTGATTCCTGCCCAGTAAAGCTAGATGGTGATTTTAAGGGATTTCCATGGTGGAACATAGTTGATGCTCAAATGGAAACCCAGTGTTCTTTCAGCTGCTTTAAACAAATCCTGAACTTGGAATTCTGACCTTGGAATGGCCTGGAGCTGAAGGGCTTTTAGTTAGCTGTGAATTTCTTCAGAGAGGTAAAAGTGCTTCCAAATCTGGGATCACAGGAAGGTGATTGATTGAGGAATGGTAAGTCTCAGGGAAACTGGAAAACCACTGGAGCCAAGGTCCTTAAGGCCATTCTAGTGGCAAGTGGAAAACTTTTTTTTTATGCCTCACACCTTGGCAGCATGTGGGTCTATGTGCTCTTTGGCACACACAGATAGTGGGAATCCTCTGGAAAATGGGAAGCTCCTATTTGTTTGCTCCTTAAAACTGCCCCTACAGAGGGACTTTAGAAACATTCATCTTCCTATTGGACATGTGTTGCATTTAATTTTTATTTCTTGTTTTTAATGTTTAAGTCTGTCCATGTCTTGCCTATCTTGGTTATTTGTCACTGTGTTTTTTGGGGCTTCATTTATTCACCTTTGGGGTCCTCTGTGCCAGACAGCTCTGGAGTATTTACTGAGGAAACTCCTTCATCCATTTGAATATCCCCTCGTGTCAAACTTGATGTGCTAATGATGGGAGTTGGAGAAAGTGACCAGATTACTGATGGAAATTGGGATGCATAATTGGTCCCTATTTAAGCAGATAAGGCTTAGTGAAATAACTCTTTTTGAGTTGTGATTTTTCATTAGTAGGAAGTGTTATTCCCTGAGGTAGTGCAGATGTCACAGTCAGAAAAAAATAGTACAAGGCAGCACCCACCATTAAAGGCCAATTTAAAAAAACAGGATAGAGCCTGGGGAATGAGACCCTTAAATTCTTAGTGAGATTTGGTGCTTAAAAATGTGGCATGGTGAGACTTCCAATGTACCCAAGGAACTCTCAGACTAAAATCACATTTTACTGAGCTAAGTTTTTTAATTCAGTATCTCACTGGAAACTGGAATTAAAATTGTAGAGACACATCCAAGAAGTTGGGGAAGGCCATTTTTTGAGGGTAGGAATAGCCTCAAAGGGGTGGAGCAGGACTGCCCTTCTCCTGCTTCCCCTTGCCTTTGCCTTCCTCTGCGTGCAGATTTGCAGGATGGGTATGGACTTTGCAAGAGAACTTGACACCTAAACGTGGAGTAGGAGGCACAAGCCACCCCCACAAACCTGATTTAGAGGGCCTGTGCTGTTCCTGCTGCTCTCCTGCACTGCCAGAAACATCTTTCCCTTGGAGCTGCTTGAGCTGGTTTGGATTCTGGATGAATCATTGCTCCTGAAAACCAAAAAAAAAAGCTCACTTCATTTTTTTTTTTTTTTAATTTTTAATGGATGACTGCTTTCCCCCCTCCCAACATTCCTTCCCGGCACATGCCCTCCTCAATTACAGCATTCCTGTCTCTGAGAGAGCTACTGTTCCCTGGGTGGGACGTGGCAGCTCAGTGAAGGGGGGCACCTTGCCAGCACCAGGGAGCTGTGTGTGCAGCTCCAGGATAAACCCACCCACTCACACACTGCTTTTACAGATAAAAACTGCCTTTTGCCTCTTCTCTCTCCTCTCAGCAGGCAGCAAGAGCTTGCAGCACGTCATGGTAAAAGTTTCCATTTCAGAAATACCAGGCTGGGCTTTTACTCACTTCACTCCCTGTTGTGTCTCTGCTGGTATTTTTCTGCACACCAAGTGTGGCTTAGAGGGCTTTTAAAAACAAATGCCAGTGTTCTGTGGCCAGTGGCTTACACAGGTAGTGTTGGGATGTAATGTCTTCTACACTGACCAGTGCAGCTGAGGAGATGAGATTTTTTTTGGGGGGATGCTCTCTTGTGCCTTCATTAGCTCCTGAGAAATGTCTGGCTTTTCCTTAATGTACTGCTTAGTCTTTAAATGATTTCTGTGTAGAAGCATCATGCCATTCAAAATCACTAATGTGCCTCCACAGAATTATAAGAAGGAGGAATATGGGATGTTTTGTGGCTGCCCCTGGATCCCTGGCAGTGTCCCAGGCCAGGTTGGATGGGGCTTACAGCAGCCTGGTCTAGTGGAAAGGTGTCCCTGCCCATGGCAGGGGGTAGAATAGGATGAGCTTGAAAGTCTCTCTCAACCCTGAGCCATTTCTTGATTCCAGTACATATAAAAGTTGTTAAAAGCCCCCCAGTTTTGAATTCAGCATGCTAATGGAAGCATTAAATCTTTATAACAGTTCAGAGATGGCTTTTTACAAAGCCAAGTGGGTCAGCAAAACACCAGACTTGTGTGGTAGGGAACTGGGGCAGTTGTGTAGTGGTTATTAAGGAAATACCAAATCCTCTGTAACTAAATCAGTGGTACTTTGAACTGCCCTGCCTGTGGCTTCCCAGGAATTTTCCCTTTTTTTGTTAGGGCTCATCATGGACTCAGAGGTGGCAGCTGGTCAAAAATAGGACAGAATGCAATGAATCTGGAAGTGTGTAAATATTAAAAGAAAACAAACTGCTGAGCATGTTTAAGGCTGTTAATGCTGCATCTCCTGCACCACTGGTCAAGGGAGTCTTTATTTTTGATAGACAAGAGCAGGAAAAAAAAAAGCCAACTTTGTGTGAAGAAAGTGTTTTGAATGAGGCAGAGACTTATCAGCAAGGGACCAAGCTGGGACAGCACCAGAGGAAGGAATGTGGGGCAGCTGGAATATTCTGTGACCAGGCAAAGCCATGGATGCAGCTTTCATGACAACTCCAGGGTTAAATTCCCCTGTAAATGCAGCACTCCAGGCCTCCCTGTGGTTTTGCTCAGCACCCAGCAGACAGGCTGGCACTTGGAATATGGTTTCAATTCCCTGTTCCTCCACCTTTCATAGGCTTTCTTTGTATGTTGAGGCAGTTAATTTTTATTTTTAAATACATACAGTACTCCCCTTCCTGAAAGGCTGCAGTATTCTCCCTGGTGAAGCATTCATTGCCACTCTCAATAACCAACAGAGCAAGAATGCTTGGGCTTTTCGTCCTTTGGGTTGTTTTCTTTGGTTTTTTTTCCTTTATTAACAGACTGGACAGAGGCAGGGAGAGCTGCTGGGTATCTTGGGGCTCTTCTTGTGCCCTAAACGTGAGGTTGGGGCAGCTTGTGAGCATTACCTGGTCACCATGGCTGTGTAGCATGGCTGCTTTTGGGGATTTTTGTTTGGTAAATGTTTCATCTCCATGTCTTAGCATTCTTCTGCCACCTGAAATCAAAGCAGGCTGTGTTGTAACACCTCCTTGTACTAACAAGTGTTCAGCAGTGGATAGGTTTGTGCATGTCTGTCTTGAAAAAGTTTTCTTTTATTTCATAGTTCAATGGTCATTTAAAAAAATGCTCGTAGAGATTCTGTAACCTGTGTCAGTGCCTTGTGTCATGTGTCATGCTACTGCTCCTCCCAGGCAAAGTATTTGGGGATTTGCTGTTTCTTTTAAACACAAATCAAAGAAAAACTTAATTTAGTATAGATGTGAAGGTTGATTTGAGTAAAAATACATGGATGCTGCTGATTCTAGTTTCCAGCTGGGCTCTGGGCACAGGGATTCCTGTCCAGCAGGAAGCACTGCTGAGCCCAGAGGCTGAGTCAGCTGCTAGAAGAAAAAAGATAGCTGTCTCCATTTTCCTGCCAAAAAAGGGGGGGAAAGGAGTCCCAAATAATCAATATTATCACCCATATTAGTGCAGTGGGCTGCCAGGGTAAAATGAAGGTGGAGTGGCTGGCATGGGATGAGTAAAGCAGCAACAGGGAGCAGATATGGAAAAACTCTAATACACAGTAGGAGGCAAACGTTTTGAAAAATGCCTTTGGAACTGGGGCTGACCTTCCACATTTAAAAAAGAGAGGGGGTAGTTTGGGTTTTTACCTCACTTAAAAATCATTGTGTACCCAAAGCATGTGCTGAATACCAGATTTATAATAGGCTGCTCTGATAGCAATTGTTCAATTTAATGCATTATTTGATAATTTTCAGAATGATTCTTAGTAACACTGCAGGGGTAAGTGATGAGAAAGGGCAGATCCCAGAGTGCCGGCCTGGAAGTGTGTGACATTTAGGGGAGCCAAGTTCCAAATACAGTAAATCATCTGTTCCTGTCCCCAATCCTGCTTCAAAATGCATCACCCCAAGGGGCTGAATGAGCTGTTGGGAGTGGGGTAAGAGCAAAACTGGGTGTGCCTGGTTTAAAAAACAACTTCATTCAGCCCAGTGTGGGAATTCAGGCCCTTGGTTATCGAGCTCCCTTAAAGCACTGCTGGAATTGCTCTTTCTAGGAAACACATTCATTAAATTCAGGGTTTTGTAACTCCCTGGAAATACTTCTGGTCATGCTACCAAATCCTTGACAAGCCCTCAAAGCCAATCTCCCGTTCCAAGTGTTGCTGCTGTGCTGGCTGTTGCTGTCATGTGTCACTAACTGTCCCCTCCCCAGCGCGTGGCTCTCGGGCTACGAGAGCCCGGTGGTGTCCCGCATCAACACCAGGATCCAGGACCTGACAGGGCTGGATGTCTCCACAGCAGAGGAGCTGCAGGTGAGTGGCAGCAGCACGGGCTTGGTGCTGGGTGCCAGTCACCATTTCAGCATGGTGGATGGCTTGTGCTTGCTCAGGTGGGGTGGCCAAAAAACTGTATTTATTTATTTATTTATTGACAGAGGGGAAGAAAAAGTTGTCTTTGCAGAGCAGCTGTTGAGTGTGAAATGGCTTTTTCTGAAAGGAAACGGTGATAAGTGAAACTCCGGATGTGTAATTCCCTTTTATTTAGACAAATAAACAGAGTTTCATGGCTGTAGATCCTCCAAACTTTGCTGCTGTTGGAGGCAGTTAAAAGTTTAGCCTGAGTGGTGCTCAGGGAAGGCCACCAGTGTGTCTGGTGTCCCTGGGATGTGTGGGAAACACTGGCTGCATGTGTAACTTGAGTAAACTGTAATTTAGAAGTGCTTTTGTTTATTTGCTTGAGGCCTTTAAATGAGCAGCTGCCTCCCTGACTGTGAGCAGAGCACAAGTACCTAGAAAGCAGGACACCCACAAAGTACTTCTGAAACCTGCTGTGCTCCTTGCCACTCTGTCAAGGATCCTGGTGATAAAATGGCCAAGGATCTGGTCCAAAATTGAGGTCATCTTTTTATAGCAAATTGGCAAGAAGGACAGGGAACTGTCTCTATTGACACAGTCAGATTCAGGTCAAAAAGTGGTTTAAATTCGAGGATGCAAAAGCATCATGATAATGTTTTGAAGAGAGGCTGAGAAGTTTTCTGTAGAAGAAAAATGCTTTTGTGCCCTGGGAAGCACCAGATTCCTTACCTGGAGCAGGCTGCATCCTGCAGTGCCAGTCTTGGATGTGCTCCTGTTGCTGACAGAGGCTTGACATTTCCTGGGGCTTGGTGTTTACATTTCATCTCTGCAAAGGTTGTAGCTGACAGTCAAACTCTTGCCTGGGTACAATAAAGACTGATTTACTAGATCCTGTGCTTCTCCTTCCACTGTAGGTAGCCAACTACGGCGTAGGAGGCCAGTATGAGCCTCATTTTGATTTTGGAAGGGTAAGTCCTGTTTTGTTTTCACCCCTTTCTTCTTCACAAGCGCTGTGTTTCTCTTTTTCAGGTGGCAAATTATGGAGTGGGAGGACAGTATGAGCCCCACTTTGACTTTGCACGGGCAAGTAAAGAGCTGGAGAGGAGCTAGACCTGGTGAAGCCTGGGCCTCTGGGCTGGGGCACACTCTCTGTTCTTCAATGTGTATTCAATTTTAGCTCTTCCACTTTGCTAATCCATGTCCGTGGAGAAAGCCCTCTAAACCACCAGCTGAACCTGTGGAGGTTACTACCTGTAAGCTGAGTGCCAGCAGACAACTGGAAAAAGTCTTATCTCACTGTCCTTAATTTTTAAATTGGATTTAAATTCCCCACCTGTTTTATTCCAGTTTAAATTGCAGACTGCTGAATTTCAGTTGGTTATTTACTGGGCATCATTCTGTGTGGTTTAACCCCTTCAGATTAACCTTTACCCTGCCAATGCCAGCCACCAACTCTGAATCAGGATCTCTGCTCTGTAAGCACCTGCTCTAAGGCATTGCAACCGATTAACAGGTTTTGTTTGGAAGCACTGGGGTTGTTTCCTGGAGTAATTGCTGGAATTTCAGTGCACACAAATTCTGCTCACAGGGGCTGGGTTTAAAAACAGAGGTGTGACAGAAGTTGGTATCAAAACAAAGTCCATTCTTGTAAGTCGAGTGCTGAGCACCTCTCAGTTGCCTGGTTTGTCACTGAGGCTTCCTCCCTGCTTCCCAGCTGGAATCCAAAGTGGAGTGTGGCAGGGAAGTGTCCCAGCTGACCCTGGGACTGAGAGCTGCCCTGGCTGCTGCCAGGGACAAGGGGGATGAGTGTAATTAAATAATTCAGTTTGCTGTGAGGAGGATTTATAGACTCAGCCTCAGACAGCACAGTTGTTCTTATCCATTAGAAATCTGGGCTTAATGCCCTCCCTCCCTCTCCTACAGAATTTCAAAGTGCCTGGTTTATTTAAATTAATAGATTCACTCCTATTGCATTCCTCCCCTCCTTCCAAATCGAGGGGTTGGATTAATTCCTCTGCATGAGTCTGTTGTGTGCTGCTGGCTCAGCAGCTGTGTGTCATTGGCTGCTCTCAGCAACCAAAAAGAAACGCTGATGGAATCTGCCTGCTTTTGTTCACAGAAAGATGAGCCAGATGCTTTTAAGGAATTGGGAACAGGCAACAGAATTGCTACTTGGTTGTTTTATGTAAGTGATACGTTTCTGCCATCTGTCATTGCATATTCTATACCATGGAAGGATTTAATTCTGTTTTTATTTCATCCCTTTTTTACTGAAGGGACTTGCAAATGAAGCAGCCTTAACTTTGGGGTAATACATATGGGGGGTCTTCTTACCCAGACTTTGTGGCTCTTCCATATGTCCTAAGGAAGGTTTTCCCCCCCAGATTTGAGCATTGGCTTAAATTATTTGCCTGCCTGTTTATTTTTGTGTCTGCATCAGTATTTACAGCATGTTCACTGCCTTAACACTCGAGTGGGAGGGACAAGGCTGGGACTGCACTGGGAACAGAGGGGGTTTGGCCTTCTTAAGGGGATGTATGTCAAAATTAAATTTCACTTTTGCTAAAAAGTGAGATTTTTATCAGCCTGTACTCACCTGTCCTTTTCCACCTGTTCAGATGAGTGATGTGTCAGCAGGGGGAGCCACGGTCTTCCCTGAAGTGGGAGCCAGCGTTTGGCCGAGAAAGGTGAGCAGGATTAATGCAGCAGAAAAAACCACTCCTCCCCACCTACTCAAACAGAACAGGCACCAAACACAGCTTGAAAATGAACCTTGAAAATAATTGTAAGCACCTCTGTGCTGTCACAACAGTGCTATGATTTTCCTTAAGTGCAGCCACTGGAGCTGGGCTCTGATATTCCATGTGTGGATGCAAATACAAAACATTTAAATACTCCAAAACACATCTTGAAAAGACTCAAATCTTTGAGTTGATTCAGTCTTGAGGCATCTGAAAGAAATTCTCCTGTCAGTTCTTCCCTTCAAGCAAGATTTTCTTTTGCTGGCTTGCTGCTCAGCTTTAGTAAATAATCTTTTAAACTGGTCAGGAGTCGAATGAAACTGGCTTAGGATATAAAAAAAAATTAAGAGCCAGGTATACAGACATACAAGAAGTCAAAGGAAATATGAAATATATGGAATATGCAATATATTTATTAGGAAACAAATGATAGAATATGGAAAAGCCTTCAGTTTAAAAGGAAAGTCTGAAACACAAATGCATCTACCTTTACCTTATTGGTGTGAGAGTGTGTGTTGTGGAGAGCACAGGGCTGAGTGTCCCCTGCCCTCCCCAGGGAACAGCTGTGTTCTGGTACAATCTCTTCCCAAGTGGAGAAGGCGATTACAGCACGAGACATGCGGCCTGCCCGGTGCTAGTGGGAAATAAATGGGGTGAGTACCTGCCTTTGACCTGAGTCTGGGCTCTGCTGGGGGGGTGGCTTGGCTTTATTTTTCCCTTTGGACTTCAGAAATTACATTCTTTGTAAAGAAATATAGAGAGATGTGAGGTAAAGTAAATTAAATATAAGTGAAATGTATTCTATATAGTAGCATATTTCATTATGTGTATAAAGGAAAATAATACTATACTCTATAGTTTATATAAACTCTAAGAGGTTTTTGTAGCTGGAAGGGCTTGTTGGTTGTTTTTGTTTTGTTTTTTTATTAGACCATCTTCACACATTTGTGCATGGCAGTGGGGTTGGAATGAGACGGTCTTTCTAACCCAAATCATTGTGGGATGAAAACCCTCGAGAAAATTCAGATAATCCTGTGTTTATCCAAAAGCTGGCCTTGGAGCATCCTTAGTTTCAGTGTGAGCACGTGCAGTGACCCAATGCCTTTGTGTCTTTGCAGTCTCCAATAAGTGGCTCCACGAGCGGGGGCAGGAATTCCGCCGGCCGTGCACGTTATCGGAGCTGGAATGACGCAGCCGGGGCTCCCGTGTGCTCAGTGTGTGGGGAATGCACACACCTCCCAGTTTACAACTGACTAACAAACACTCCACTACAGCTTCCACTACAGCTGTGGACAGGACAAACGTGCTTTTAGTTCCCTCCAAACCCCCCCCAAGGTTTATTGACAGAAAATACCGAGGTTGACAAGTGTTACTGGAAAAAAAAAAAAAAGGACAAAATACAGATGAGGGCCACAACTTACAGTGGTGTTGTGTGTGGTGTTCCTGTCACCATCATCCCTCTGAGCAGTGTGGGCAGCCAGGGGTTGTCTGGAGTCCTCCTCACACCTGCCAGGCTTAGGGCAGGATGATTGCCTGGGAGGGCTCCCTTCGAAGGAATGCTGAGTTAAACTCATTCCTAATCCTCAAATCCCAGACACTTCACCCTTTGCTATTCTAGAGTGCCTGACCACTGCAGGCATAGTTTGTTTTGTTTTGGTTTTTTTTTTCCCTCTGAAAAACGGGTTATTAGCATGTTTTAGCCTGGTTTTCCACTTCTACAAAAGCCCCACTTTTTAAGCTTGTCTTCCTTCTCAGCCAGTGTGGAGAATTTGGCTCCTAATCTTGACCACATGAGCCAGCAGTTCCACAGGCAGAGTCAGGATGCTTCCAGAGTGTCAGAGCAGCCTGGGAACACCCACAGCCCATCTTCCCTCCTCTTCTGCAATGTTTGTCCACATGAACAAGTGCTGCTTTTGTTCTGTCCTGGCAGCCAGCTCTTCCCTCTGCTCCTTGGGCAGCAGGGATGGGGATGTTCCCACCTTCATTAATCAAAATTGTCGTGCCTTAGGACACTGGAATTTCAAATTGGTTCTGAGACTTCAGGTGCTGAGGTAACACAGAGTCCTCACAGAACGCTCCCCCCCTCATCCTCCTCCCAAGCTCTCGAGGTTTCTGGAGAAACTCTCAGCCTATTTATAGTCCTGAAGCTTTTTTAGGTGCAGGCTCACTTTCCTGAGCCCTTTCCCTTCCACAGCAGGATTTTTTAGCAAAATATCCAAATAGCTCACTAGCATGAGGACAAAAATCAAAGGAAGCTGCACCTGCCTCTACCTAAACAGTCCAATTTTCTGGATGATGATGATGATTTTACTGATTTAGGGGTCAAGTCTGAAGTCTTTACCAAGGGAAAAATTCCAATTTTGGTTAATTGGATTTTCTGCCTCAATAAAATCTTGATAATTGAGCCAAACTGTACAAACCTATTGCTAAATGTGCTAGAAATACCTCTGGATTACTGGGAATGCAGTTTAAGGTACTATAGTTGGAGGAACTGCATACTTTCAGAAGACACTTGACAAGGTCTTTGCTGGAAAATAGTTGTTCAATTTCTACTGAGCCTGGTAGCAGTGGGACCCACAGAACTGCCCCTCCTTAGCCCTGCACCTTCCTGAATTTTGCCTGGTGTTTGGCAGCTGGAAAACAAGGTCCATCGATCATGTGAGAACACAAAAATCTGCAGTCCCACCCCTCACTTCTGTACTGCTCCTTTACCAAGAGCAGGAGCTGATCTAAATAAATTCACCTCAGAACTGGTCTTTGAGCACTAAATTGTAATAATTAAAAAAAACCCCAAACCCATAAGATTTGTGCCTACCTGAGTTTTCTCACTTTTTCATCCTTCTCTCTTTGCCATCTCTTAGTTTGTTAAGCTCCAAAAAGTAACCATGGCTGCAGGTACCTCCCACCACATCCCTGCAAGTAAAAGGGTACAATGAACAGTGGTGCTGGGAATCCTGCCTTTGGGACATCCATAAATGCTTGTAGGGAAGCCACTCCTACCCTAGTACAGGAGCACGAAACAAAATCCCTGTATTGCCATCAGGAACAGACCTGCATTTGCTCTTACTGTCCCATCTCTGTTCAACAATCACCAAAGCATGAAAAAAAGCCAGAGTTGGGGAATTTTGCTCAACAGTTCCCTCCCTCAGCTCAATACCAGTGAGTGCTTCCAGTGTTAAACAGCATCAGTCCTAGACATTGCTTGGGGAGTACAAATGTTCTGGTGCATGACTTTTTAAAGCAGTGAAACACTCACAGATAATTATTCAGGAGAGAATTTTCTACTTTTGACAGTAGAAAATTTTACTTGGTTAAAGGAAAAAAAAAAATCTCTCAAAATTAAATTTCGAGTCTGCTGAGGCACATCAGGAATGTTCCAGATTATGACACCAGGGTTGGCTTTGATTTTTAAACTGCAGACAATCTTTATTTCCTCTCCCTCCACTGCAGTGGTGTCCATGCATCCAACGCTGGCTGTGTAAGGGATTTCACGGGTGCTGCTCCTCCAGCCTTACCCCAGCATTTCTCAAAGGGCTTTTGGATCCCCAGCGTGGCTCCTGTGTGAATCTAGTTTTGTATTAAACATGATTGAAAACTGTCTGGGCTCACAGTGACTGACAACTGAGAAACTGCCTTACTGTTACATTTTTTTTTTTTTGTAATAAAATTTTTAATGTAAAAAAAAAAGTGAACAGGCTTAAAATAAAAGCCACTGCCATTAGCAGTGAGAAATCCTCCACATCCAATTCTCCTCGTATGTGGCTGCTATAAATCTGATCACAACAGGATTTTATCACCATTTGTGGCAATCAAGCTCCTCTGTTTCCCTTCACCAGCTTGCTGGGCAGGTGCAGAAGCTGCTCCTACCCCAAATCCCTGTTCAACACTAAATTTTGTGTCTCCCTGGGATCACACAGCACTGAAGGACTGCAGGAGGGGAGGGCAGAAAATGCTGGGCTGAAAGCAGGGTCAGTGCTGAGGGTCCCTTTTCCAGGGATGACAAATCTATTCTGTGAAGCCAGAAGATCAAACAGCCACTTATCCTGGAATGGTTCTAGGGAGGGGAAGGAAGCACCAGAGCCTCCAACAGCACAATAAACTCACATGTGGGAAGGTCAGGCTGGCCTCTTCCATGACCAGAACCTCTGGGGTTTGTACACCACAGTTTCACCCTGCAGAGCAGTGGAGCTGATGCTTAATTCCCACCATCAGGAGCCTGCAAAAAACACAGCAGGGGCTGGGGAGAGGCTTTGATCATTTTGCCTGTGGAACGGAGCACTTGGCTTGCAGTGCTGCCCCCGACACAGCTGGGACACCTTCCACTATCCCAGGCCTTGTCCAGCCTGGCCTTGGACACTTCCAGGGATCCAGGGGAAGCCACAGCTCCTCTGGGCAGCCTCCTCAGGCCCTCACCACCCTCACAATATAGAATTTTTTCCCAATATCCCATCTATCCCTGCCCTCTGTCAGTTTGATGCCCTTCTCCCTTGTCCAGACCCTTTTCCAAAGTCACTCTCCTGGAGTCACTTTAGGCACTGGAAGGGGCTCTGAGGTCTCTGCAGTTTTCTTTTTTTCTAGGCTGAACAATCCCAGCTCTCCCAGCAGAGCTGCTCCATCCCTCTGATCACCCCGATGCCTCCTCTGGACTCTCCAGCAGCTCCAGGTCCTTCCTGTGCTGGGCCAGCTCTGCAGGTGGGGGCTCACCTGAGCAGGGCAGAGGGGCAGAATCCTCTCCAACAGCTGGGGGAAGGCAGCACAAAGCTGGAGGGATCTGCACAGAGACTCCAGAGAGACTGGAGCTCATACCGGCCCCCATTAGGGAGGGGGTCTTTAACCACCCCCCAGCCACCCTCCCCTGGCTGCCGGACTCTGACCTGGCTCGGAGGGACTCGGGTATTTCAGCATTGACCCGCAGTTCTCCTCCCCATAATCAGGGACTCCTCTGGCTCCCAAACCGGGCTTTGGAACAGCCACGGATGATCACCCACTAACCTGAACCACCAGCTGCCTCTTCCCTCTGCTGGAAAAGAGCTCAGTCCCTCGATCCCATTCCTCCCCAGCAGAGTGGCACGGGAAGGAGAATCCTGGCACAGCCACGACAGGAGGAATGCACCACAGGAGCTGCAGCTTGGCTCCTGATGCTGAGCCAAAGGGGCTTTTCCAGCTCCATCTGGGACGGGGCTCATTCCCAAAGGCGTGGGGGACACAGGAGCACACACGTCCCGGACGGGATGGGTGCAGTCACCTCTCCCTCCCCATCCAGGAACGCTGCCAACAGCCTGACAGTGTCCCTGGGAATGCGTGACTCACCAGCCGGGGCTGCTCTATATTTAAGCATTACGGAGGCAGGAATGAATGCACGCAGTCAGGAGCTGACTATCCCCGAGGTCAGCACCAGGTTCAGAAACCAGTTGACAAAAGTTCACCACCGTGGCAAAAAGCATCTGCACCCTTTAAATCTTCAGAGAGAGAAAAGCTGGCCTAGGGAAGGGGTTCTTGTAAATGCAGTGGGTCAAAGTGAGGCCAGAGAAACTGCAGGGTCCCACTGTGCACATCCACAGTCGGGAATTTCCTCACTGCTGCAGCTGCTAAGCCACTCCCCGATGGAAATCTGGAGGTTACTTTTATCCAATCCTACATTTTTCCTGATCTTCAGATCTTGCAGTTTGGGTGCAACCAAGCTATTTGCAGCTGGACTGAAAAGCTCTCAGGAGACTGGCTTGGGACGGGAAGGAAGGAAGCAGGAGGAAGGAAGGAGAGTGGCTCATCCCGGGGCAGGGCAAAGGGACTGCCACGTTTTGGAAAAGCAGTGAAACTGCTTTTTATTCACAAACCTTTGCTTTGGAACCAGTGACAAACTAACAGGAAAGTTTCTGACTCCTCTTTACCCAGGCTCTGCTCTCTGCCAGCTGCTCCCTCCCTGCCCTGTACAGCTTTCCTAATTCCAATTGATTTTGCAAACAGCCTGGGCACTCCAGAGCCACCAGCTCCAGGCTGCATGTCCTGCTCATGACACATTCCCTGTGGTTTCCCTCCTCTGCAGTCCTGCCAGCATTTTTCCCTCTCTCTTTGCCTTCAGCAGCACATGGATCAGTCACCAGGGACTGAGGGATGACAAAGCAAGCTGTGTTCTGGAATTGCCTCCAGAACAACCCTGAAAGGCTCTGCATAAAAGCAGGACACCATGCACAGACACCCAGAGGCTCTTCTAAGCTATTCCCAAATAGCTGTTTTGCTCTTTTTTACATTAATTTCTGCCAGACTGTTGGCAAATGCTGGGAGCACTAGGACTGCAAACTGGAGCATCAGGCAGGGCAGGGATTGAACCAACAGAGACACCAAAGGCTCCACTCACTGCAAGACACAGCGTGGGACTCTTGAATCCCGTTTGCCCTGCACTGAGGCTCCCTGACAACAAATTCTAGGGACCATTTCCACCCACGACTGACAGAGCAGTCCCCAGCATGGTCTGAACTCTCCAGTGCTCCTGCAGGGAAGTTCTCACTTCCCCAGCACCCCCTCTGCCCTGTGCAGGGGTGACACAGATGTCACAAAAGGCTTCCTTGAGGCAGGGATTTGCTAATTCCCAAGATACCAAACGCCCTTTCCCAGTGTTCTCAGCATCTGGGTTTATCTCCCCAAAGGCAAAGCTGGTTTGAGGTTCCCCTGGGACCTCTGGCACTCCTAAATGTCCCCTCACCCATAACTGAGCCCTGGCAGCCGTGGGCCTCAGAACAGATGGAACAAGCAGGCAGCAGCTGCCTCTGGCTCCACACCATTTCACAGGAGAGGGACTAACCAGCTTGTTTGCTCCCTTCCCCCCTTCTCTGATTTACCTAAGAAACCAAGCCTCGCCTGTGGCTCCTCCTCCTCATCCCATGTCTGGAGCCCATCACCCAGGGCCATGTGCAGACACAGGCAGTGCCATGGAGCTCTGTCCACTCAGAAGCAGCGACTCAGCAGGGCTGAATGTCCTGCAAAACAATAAAATGCCAGAATTTGCATTTGCATTTGGCATAGATTTGAAATGTCTGCAGCCCAGCTCCTCCTGAGAGGCAGTGCTGTGCTGGGGCACATCTGAAAAGCTTGCAAAGAGCAGCCAGAACCTTCCCACACCATTTCCCTTCTCTATTCTTCGTGAGTGGTTTGCTTTGTCTTTTGCTGTTGGTATTCATTTGAGTCCTGTCCCACTCCAGAGCCAGGACGTGCAGCTGCCCCACACCTCATTCCCTGGCTCAGGTTTCAGTGCCAGCCTTTCCTCCTCCATCACCTGTGCTCCTGTTTAATTTACAGGACACGGGAGCTGTAACAACCAGCCCTATAACATCAGCCTTCAGCAGCCACATCAAAGGCAAGTGCTCATCTAGCACAGTGATCCTGGAACTGGAGGTGATGCCAAGGAATTGCCCTGAATGCAGTGTTTGTAACCCCAAACTACTCCAAGCTGCTGGATCGTGGGCCCATGAGGATTTGCTAGGAGCAATAACCAGCAGCTAGGCTGGGTGAAGATCTCATCTCAAACCTTCATGGGCACAGGAGGCCTAGGGAAAAGGCAAGGGGTGCTCCTCAGGCTGCCCGAGCAGCAGAAATTTTGGACGGAGGGATACTCTTCATCTCCCCGCAGGCTGGGGAGGGAGTGAGGTGGCCCAGGCAGTGCCCTGGGGGGACAGACCCCGCTCTCCCCGGTCTTGGGGAGCTGCGGCCCTGGTGCCATGGGGACTGAGCCTGTCCCAGCGGAATTGTGCAAACTCCCAGCCCTGGGAGCTGAGCTCGGGCCGTATCTCGGCTCTGCACTTTGCACCCCGGCTGCGGTGACCTCACGCCGGCTCCCTGGGCAGTGTTTAAAGTCCAGAGCGGTGCCTCTGCCTCCTGCACTCAGCAGCTCATCCCCAGCGCTCCTGCCCCTCTGCCTGCCCCGGGGCTCCGGGATCGGGGCTGCAGCATGCGGCTGCTGCTGCAGGCAGCGCTCCTGTGCCTCACCCTGCGCCTGGGACACTGCTCCGAGGAGGCAGCGCCCGACAGCACCGGCCAGCAGGACACCTCGGCACAGTCATCCTATTCCGACTGGGGCATCGAGACCATCCGCGATGGCTTTGAGACGGTGAACAGCTACTTCGACTCCTTCTTGGAACTGCTTGGGGGAAAAAACGGGGTCTGCCAGTACCGATGTCGATATGGTAAGCGAACCTCACCGCTGCCGGCTCCTCTCTCCTCGCCCTCTTTCCCTCTCCTTGCCTGCGGCCACGACCGGCTCCTCCTACCCAGGAGCTGCCCCCGGCTGTGCTCGGCACAGTCACAGCTTCTCTGCCAGTGCCAGCACTGGCACACTGAGCACACTGGGACATTGAGCACTGAGCCCCCACCTTCCCCCTCCCAAGAACAGCCTGGTCCCGAAGGCACCGCGCTGTGTACGCAGGGACAGCAGGAGAGGATGCAGCTTTTCCTGGAAAGGCACACGGGCTGTCCAGGTGCCCGGAGCCTGGGAGAGGACAGGGAGGGGAGGCTGAGCCAGCAGCCCTAATCTCAGCAACCTTCGGAGTGTCCTTATTCAGCAGTTGTGAGCTGGCCAGTGCCGCGGGCTGGAGGAGGAGAGATAACGGGGACAAACCACACGTCACCGGGAGGAACCTTTAGTACTCGAGGCACAACGAGGCAGCTCCTGCTTGCTTTGGATTTCAGAGTGATTCACCAAAATTGAATCGTTTGGTTTGTGCTGGGGGCAGGATGAAGGGGGTGACATTTCGGGGTGCACAGAGCTGCAGGTCTGTGGGGTGATGGGGCATCACCAGGGTACCTGTGGATGTTTAGGAACCAGCCAGGAGCTTTCCCACAGACTGTATCCTCTCCTCAGCCTCCTACAACTGTCCCACAGCAACATCTTGTCCTGTCACCTCAGCCTGCCCATCCACACCTGCCTGTCAGCCCCTTTCCCCACAGCTTCACCCCACACCCCTAGTGTGCACCTAGGAAAGATGCTTGTGAGCACAGAGGGATTTCAACCCCTCTCCTCCCCGGAGCATTGTTTTTCACAGACAGACTCAGTGCTTTGGGGAGACCCCGCTGACTCTGTCTCAGTCTGTATGGATCCCATGGACCTCCTGCTCTTCCCAGGCCAGCAGCCAGGGCACTGGGACAGAGAGATGCTGCAGGGCTGGGACCCCAGCTCCCTGCCAGGGGCAGAGGGGCCGTAAGGAGGTTAAAATCAGTCTGAAAGTTGCTGAGTTTTTTGTTTTGTTTCATAAATAATGTCCCAGAATCACAGAACAGGCTAAGTTGGAAGGGACCCATCAGGATCATTAAGACCAACTCTTGGCCCTGTGCAGGGCCCAAGAGTCACACCTTGTGCCTGAAAATGGTGTCCAAACTCTCCTGCAGCTCTGGCAGCCATGGGATCACTTCTCTGATGAGCCTGGAAGTACTTCCAGTGCTCAACAACCCTCTGGGTGAAAAACCTTTTCCTGACATCCATCCAATGTGTATATATATGTGTCCTTGCTCCCCTGCCAGCTCTGCTCCCCAGGCCCCACCCTGAGAACAAACAGGGAGCAGCAAGCCAGGAACCTCAGCCCCGTGGGATGGAGGGAGCCAGGTACCTCAGCCCGTCACCACAGCCCCACAGTGGCCCTGGTCCCTCAGCCTGGGGGTCCCTCAGTCCTCTCTGCAGCAGCTCAGGAGGGCCATGTGTGTCCCCAGTACCGGGAGAAGGTGGCCCCCAGACCCCAGAGCACACAGGATGAGCCCATCAGGCAGCCTGTCCCATGCTCGTGGTGTGGCAGCCTCAGGCCATGTGTGTGACAACCTCCTAAAGGTCCACACCACGGTCCAAATTCAGAGCAGAAAAGGATTTTCCCTACAGTGGGAAAAATGTGGCTGGGACTGCAGTGTGCCTGAGGTAATGCTGATATTCAGAGCTGGTTTCAGGGAGCCTCAGGACTCACCAAACTGTGCAGATGTTACTGCTTTTGGACACATCCAGAGGGCTCTCCCTGCCTGTCCTTGTGAAAAGCATCTCCAAAGAGCAGCACAAATCCCTGCTCACATCCCAGGAGCAGCCTGCATCTTATTGGAGCAGTGTTTTACCTAGAAAGGAAAAACAAGCACATGGTTAGCCCAGTTCTCATCCTCTGCTGAACAGCTCATTAATCACTGCTGAAGGAGGAAACTACTGAAATGCTGCCCAAGGGTCCTGCTGGACCCTTCCAGGACCATTTGTCCTTGCCAATCTCTGGCACAGACATTGCAAACTGTGAGTGGAGAGGATGGTCCCAAACCAGTGAGATCCAGTCCTTGCTCAGAAGGATGAACATAAACCATCTTTGTGCTGAATAAGGGCCTGATTGTTTCTTTCCCAGGCATGAAGCAAAATTTATTCCTTTTACATACTTTCATTTCAGCCAAGAGATATCAATAATAGATTATTTTGCCATGGTAAAGGTCAGGACTCACCTGTGATTGCCACATCCATCTTCAGCTGAGCACAGGGCACTTGGCTGTTCCAGCTGTAAGACTCTCCTGATTTTTCAGCAGCTACTGAGGTCTGAAAACAACCAGCTTGATGGATTACTCCCTTAAATCAGGACATTAGGGTTACACTAGCATTTACTGGCAAATATCCTCCTGCTTACAAAGTCTTGCTGGGCATCTCAGGGGAAACAAACAGCCTGAGCTGGGAGTGAAGCCCTTGTAGCTTCCTCCTGGCCAGGAAAAACTTCACTGCTTTGCTCAGCATTTGGTCCTGAAGGGTTTAAGACGAGGGGGCACCTCCAGACTGTGGGAAAAGAGCCTTCAAAGCCAGGCTCTCCAACAGGCCATACAAGGGTGGGTACGTGCAGGCACCTCTGCTCAAAGCCTGCCTGGGGCACACAAACAACAGTGGACCACCCAAAAGTGCAAGGAGCCCTGAGACCATCCATTCACCCAAAAATAAACTCAGCTCCCCCTGCCAGTGTCCCAGCCCTGCAGTGCCTGAGAGAGACCTCCTGCATTGGCAGCAGCTGTTCCAGCCAGCTGGCTGCTTTCCAGACCCTTGGAACAGCTACAACAGCCTGGGGGGATTAAAATGCATCAGGGAAACCCAACTTCAGTTCTAGGGCTGTACCAACAAGGCAGTGGCCTGAAATCTGTCTTCCTGCCTGTAAGGATGGGCAAGCAATAAATGATAACAGGAGCACTGAGTCAATGCTCGTAGAGAGGCAGGAACGCCCGATATTCCTGTTTTATTTTTGTTTACCTGTTAACTAGAAAACAAGATGTGGGAGAGGCTGACTGTGGTGTCTTGGACTTGACCTAGATGAGAAAGAGTACAAAGGGGCACTTTACAAGTTTTAAAGCTCTGTTTTGCAGAGAGAAGGGGACAGGTTTCCTACAAGGGCTTATCCTGAAGGCATTTTGATGTTTTGCGGATCAGCACAATTCTATGTGAGGGTTTTCTTCCTCATAGCTGTGACTTCAGATCTGGAAAGCACCTATCTTTGGCTGGGAACTAGATAATGGAGGTAGAACTGGATAACTGGATGAGTTTAAAGGTCCAGTTCAACCCAAGCCATTCTATGATTCTGTGATCTCCACATCCCCAGGAAGTCTCACTCCTACTCAGACTTGCCATCTTATCCCATTAACTGTCAGTGTGCTGCAGGTACAAAATTCACTATCAATATTACAAGGAAGTCACTTAAATTTGACTCCATCCTGCAACACTCACAGAGGATTTTGAACTCTCCTCTGCCTTCTGCATCAGTTTAGGAACATTTGAATTCTGAGTCCCACCCCATTCCAAAAAACCAAAGAGGCTCTTTTGGAAGGTGAAAATTGCCTGTTGGCATCTCACAGCTGGACAGGATTTCAGTTTGTTATTTATTTGTAGCAAATCTGTCATTTAAGCAAAACAGCTCTGGCAAAGTTTAATTGAGAGGTGAATACTCCTACATAAGTCCCTCTGAGGTTTTTGGCTGTAAGGCCTTCCCAAGGGCACAGCAGATTTATGGTTGAATTAACCACTGGCGTTTTAGGTACCTCAACAGAAAAATGGGGAAAGTGTCTCAAATAATTCCTGGTGCTGACAAGAAGCAAGAAGTGGAAATGGAGTTTAAAAGAACCCAACCCTGCCTTGAAGGGCTGAATTAGATCCATTTTATGTCTATATAAATTCTCTAGCCATGCTCAGGGAAGCAGAAAGTTAACCCTCGATGTGATGGGTTTCAGAAGGCTCGATTCACACATGTTTTTGTTGGAGCATTCACTCAGTTTATGTTTTCCCAGAGCAGGGACAGGATCCAGGGAATGGCTGGAGCTGTGTTGGGGCAGGGTTAGAGGCTGGATATCAGGAAAAGGTCCTTCCCCCAGAGGGTGGTCGGGCACTGAACAGGCTCCCCTACAAAATTCAGATTAAAATGCTGCTGAAGGTACTGCTAGAGCTGGCTGTTAGCTGGACTCTTCCTACATTGGGTAAATAATTACTCACAGAGGGAGTTCTTGCTCCTTTATATTAAGAAGCAGACTGAGGAAGGTGCAGAGATTAAAGGAATAGAAATGATTTGCAAAACGTGGCAATGCATCACCATGGGCAGAAAAGGGACCAAGAAGACAGAGCAAGATCAGACATGCAAGGTCTGGCACAGTTTGGGGGAGATCTACAGCACAACAACAGCCCAAAAATGAACTGAGGATAGAAAGGAAGCCCCTTGCTAAGCTGGTAGTGTAAGCAGTAGTGTCTGGGGATGCAGACCAAAGGGGAGCTGCCTGTCACTCCTTGCTTTTTGGACCTAGTCTTGGGAAAAGCAGCTTTCCTAACATTTGTCCTGTCTTTTCTTTCCCAGGGAAGGCTCCCATGCCACGGCCTCACTACAAACCCCAAGAGCCCAACGGCTGCAGCTCCCATTTTCTGGGGCTCAAGGTACCTGAAAGTGTATGTACTGTCCCACCCACCATTCCCAAAGGATGCAGCTCTCTCACCACATCACCAGCTCATAATTCTGGCCAAGGAAAAGGCTGTGCTATGCTGGTGACAAATGCAGCTTAGTGACAAATAACCTATGTGCACACAGCAACACCTGAGTGCATCCTCCACCCCTGCCCCTTCACCTTTTCCACACTTTCTGCCTCTGCCAAGCACCAAATTAAACCCACAGGCTTTAATACTGCACCCATTTGTTATCTTTAAGGCAGTTAATGAAATCATATTGGAATCACCAGGAAAAGCTTTCCCAGGAGGCTCTCAGAGCAGGGGTTCCTATTTAGCTCATGTATTATTGCTACCCATGGAGCCTGCAGCAATTAGGCAGATTCCTGCTCTGACAACCCCTTTCTTTGCAGACCATTTTTCATGTTAAGTTTAATTCCTGAAACTCTATTTCATTGCAAACCTTGTGGGCACTTCTGTGGTGCCTCCTCTGTACCCAGGCAATCACGAGTGCAACGAAGGAACAATTCATCTCCTAAATTTTACATGAGGAAGGGCAAAAAGAGGAATAATTTATAACAAGCTAACAAGTCCAGTCTCTTCAGGAGACAGGCATTCTGCCCCACCACCCCCAGGGTAAGCTTACAGGGAGCAGAACTCCCCTGACCACACTGTGTTTGTCCTTGGCCTCAAGTGCATCTCTGAGAAATGAGGCATTAAAATACTTATGGCATGAAAAAATAGCAGGACCTTGTCAGCTTGTAGGAAAAAGAGGAAAAGAGAAAAGGGACCTTTGCCACTCTTGGCAAGGACATGGAACTCTGTGACAAGGTCTGACAAATGAAAACTAGAAAATTGTAATGGAGGGGCTGTTTCCCACCTCTCTACCAGCGTTAATTCCCCGGGACAGAGATGAGAAGAGAATGTGATGTAGCCTGCACTGAACCTGCACCACTGACACCACTGTGCTGCTCCCTCATCCTCCTTTAGATGGTGAGGGGGCAGCACACATTCCCTCCTGCTGTCTTGGATATCAGGAATAGATGCTGGAAGAGGAGCCAGCAGGGCTCTGCAGCACCTCACCCCATTACAGCTGTGTGAGCCTGAGGCCAGGACACAGCCAAGGGACACTTCTTTTCTCTTTCCCCAGCTAGACCTGGGCATCCCTGCCATGACCAAGTGCTGTAACCAGCTGGACATTTGTTATGACACCTGTGGGGCCAACAAGTACCGCTGTGACGCCAAGTTCCGCTGGTGCCTCCACTCCATCTGCTCCGACCTCAAGCGCAGCCTGGGCTTCGTCTCCAAGGTGCAAGGTAGGCACGGAGGGGAGGGTGTGGGCAGGGAGCCCCTTTGTTGCCTGGAAAAGCTGAGCTGGAACTGGGACTAGGCAGAGCAAAAGGAATAAAATTGGTATTTATTGACAAGATGCACTTTGGGCAGTGCAAGAGTCCGGCCGGGGCTACACCCAAATCAAATCCAAGCTGGATCCCGGTCATGAGTTTTTACACTTTTCTAAGTTTTGGGTCATCCACATATTGGGGTCAATTATCCAACCACAGCCCCAGGCTATGGAGTCTCAGCCCCCTGGCTTGCCCCCTTTCCCTCATCATTGTTTTTGCTTTTTGGGTACCAGCTGACCTTAATTCCCTAGCTAGAAAATAATTGTTTTGTCTTGCTACCCTGTGAAGAGACCCTACTAACACTTAATATGAAGTTTCAGAGTTACACACTAAGCAGCAGAGATTCTGAAAAATATAAAAGCTAAAACTCAAGGCATCACCTTTCTTGCCAAAAAGAAGCAAAACTCTGCAGTAGGGAGCAGCATGTCTGTCCTGCACTTGTCACAGGTGGCTGAGAACAGAGATCTGCCCCCCCTGCCACACATTTCTGTCCCAAGGCTGGAGACCTATGGTTATTTGCATTTAGAAAACGTTACAATGTGTGAAAAAAAACCCATCCCCAGACTGTTCATACACCTTCATAGGATACCAAAAAGCCTTCCAGGGCCACTGAGGCACACACTGAAACCTGTATGTGGCCAGGGGCCAGCAAAACTGAGAGAGCCAAGGACAGGGCTCTCAGGGATCTGGTCACAGATAAGAGATGACGATGGCACCAGGGACACACCAGGCTGGGTGGTGGCTGAACCACTGCAGGCAGCTCTGGATGGCTCAGAACTGCTAACAAATCTCTAGTGAAGTGCCAGCAACCCAAGTGCCACCCTGGTTCTGCCTAATTTAAAAAGCCTCAGCCTGCAAATCTGAGATGAGCTTTTTTGGTAAGCTCTGCTCTAAGGTATCCTTAAACATGCATTTGTTTTCCAAAGGTGCAGCCTGATTAGGACACACAAGAAATCTGCATGACACTATTACTAGTGCAGATGGCTTCCTACCTGGTCACAGATAAATGCATGGAAAGAGTGCCCAGGCCAGCAAGAGAAATCAAAGATGTGGGCTGAGTGCCACAGGCTGAGCACAGCCTATCTTTCGTGGTCACCCTTATCAACAGGTCCCCACACAGCCAAGTTCTTCCTATCTCTTCAGATTTTCTTCCCCTGCCCCTCTTTCATGTGGCTCCTTCTTGCTCTCTGCTTGCAGCAGCAAAGCAAACCTAGATCCCAGGGAGTTAAGGCAGAGCAGAGCCCACACTCCTGGGCTGAGCCAAGGCACCTCTGCCAGGCAGGAGTGGATTCCTCCCTCCAGCATCTCTGTCCTGGCTGCTGTAGAAGCACAGGTAACACCAAAGAACCTCTGAGCCATCCTCCTCTCGCCTTGGGCTCTACAGATCCTGTCCCCAGGGCTGCTCTGAGCAGCTCCTGTCCCTCCTCCACAGCCATCCCAGCTCTTATCTGGCATCCAAAGCCTTGGTTTTCCCACTGACTCACCACAGCCTCTCCAGTGCCTGCCAGCTCAGCAGCCTCCTAAGGGAACAGGAGCACGGAGGTGTTTAGAGAGGCTGAGACAGGAGAAAACAGTCCCAAAGGCAAGACTTTCCCAACCTCATTATGCATACAGCAATCAGCATTAGTGCCAGTAAATAAACCCTAAAGACCTAATAGTAACCTATTTAATTAGTGACTGAGCACTTTCAGGGTTGTTCTTTGGGATGAGGAGGGGCTAGTAGGCTGCTGTAGGATTTTTCATGCTGGCTGGCAGCTGGCATCATAACTCCCAAAAAAACCCCAGAAATGTTGGCTAATAGTGGCTATAGGCAAAACTGAGAGGAGAAGGAGCAATGTGAAGGCCTCCTGGGAAATCTGTTTGGTGCTGTTTGTAGAGCCCCAGATGATCCATCAACCAGAAAGGCCTGAAAGAGGCAAGAAAGGAGGGGTCTGGGGGAGGAGAAATTAGTGCCACTCTGGATAGAAAAGAGGAGGGAACCTCAGGATTTATAAAAATGCAGTTCTCAGAGGGAAAAGACGACAGCCCACGCTTCCAACAGCAAACTCCCTGGAGCTCAGTGCAGCGGTGCTCTGGATCGCTTGTCCTTACCTGCCCATCCTGTCTTTGCCCACAGCCTGTGAATCCATGGCAGACACGGTGTTCAACGCTGTGTGGACCCTGGGCTGCCGGCCCTTCATGAACAGCCAGAGGAGCGCCTGCATTTGCAGCGAGGAAGAGCGGGATGAACTGTGAGGAAGAGCAGCAGCCCGGTGTCCGTGAGCCGCTGCCAGCGCCCCTCTCCAGCACAGAGACTCCTGTCAGCCCTCGGGATGAGGGAGCCGGGCCAAGGCAGCATCCTGGGCAGGGCAGGGCAGAGCCAGCCCATGGACAGAGGGCAGCCGTGCCTGCTGTCCGTGCAGATGCAGCCCAAGAGCCCCGCCGCCCCTTCCCAAGCCGGCAGGATCCCGTGCCAGTTCTCTCCATGGACCGAGCAGGAGAGGCAAGCAGGACGCACTGCTGGTTATAAACACACACTATCACCTCCCCCCACCCTGAAACTCTCTAATTTGCAGTGCATTAGGTTTCTGCGAGCCCTGTGAAATTCTCAGTCCGTGGATATGCTATTTACATTTTTGCACCCGCCGGTGACAGACTGAAGAGGGGTAATTTGCTTTCAGTACATTGCTCACACCCGCCCCTGACACTTTCCATCCTGTCATTACACACCCTGACGCCCCTGCGTATTTAAATACTTGGTGGATCCTAAACTGATTGAAGACATCTGGAGATTTCTTAAGCATGAGTTAAGGAGAAGGGCTTGAGGTGTTTGTGGTACACAACTGATATTCGGGACCAAAGCCCACCATTTATTAGATGTGGAAGCACAGCCCTCTCCCCCAGTCTCAGGAGAGGAAGCCGCTTTTCTTTGCCAGTGTCATCCACATCTATTTAATTACTTTTCTCCTATAGCACTGAACAAAGCTTTGCCCTCAGGATCCCTTTTCACACAAAATGGCTGGGTATCCACCTCCATCTCTTCCACGAGGGAAACAGGAGGCCTTGGATGAGATATTGCAAATTCTGGAGGCTTATCTGTCAGGTGACAGGACTTACATGCTACCTCTGCGGGGCTGCTATCAGCAGCCTCAGACACCATCCCTTCTAAAACGTGGTTAATACTCCCATCTGTTATGGGGAGCTTTTGTTGCATGCAAAACCAGAATTTCAAGTGGTGCATGGCATTTTGCCTCCACAGAACATTGGCAGACAGCTTTCAGCTGGGTTTCTTGTTGGAAGGAAGTTGCTACTGGGTGTGCTCGTGCCGTGCCACGTAAATATTTCAGTGGCTCCTGCAAACATATTTATGGTTATGTTCTTCCATCTGCCACAGAGAAGTTAAGGCTGCAAAAGGGTTGATTTAACAAGAGTGGAAAGAGTCTGTCTTGGTTGCTTTTCTTCCAGTTTAAATGGGTTTAAAATGTATGCATGGAGCTATAAATTATTTAAGGCCTGTGTTCCTGCTCCTGCCAGTCATCTTGGCCTTACAGTGAACAGCAACGAGATGCTCAGCCGGCCCCAAGAACAACAAGAGCCTGCTGGTATCCACACCAGGAAAATGGAAGTGACTGTGTGGGGTGTACTGGGATGTTTTCCATCACAGAGGACCTCAGCGCTGGTCAGATGTAATGACAGCCTTTCCCAGCTGGGCTAATGCCACTGGAGAGGGAATTCTGCATTGCCCAGGTTCACTGCTCTGTCAGAGCATGAGGCTGGACAGACAACCTTGATTATCCAGCTAAGAAACACAATCCCCTTTTTGGATAGGAATGGGAAGGAAACATTCCTCATTCCAGACACTTCCCAAACTTTGTATTTTGTTGGTGAAATGGTGCCTGTGGCCAGTTTAAATGTGAACATAATCTTATGACTAAATGACAAAAAATAAATTAAAATACTTGTATTATCTACGTTCAAAAGCCAACTGGATGGCAAACGTCTTAAAGTATTTTATAGTTCAAGTGATATCAGATTAAAGCCAAGCAACTTCTGGCAGGTGATGACATACACTGGAGAAATCAAAGGGTTCTGAACAAAAATCTCTGTACCTAGACACTGATGCGTTGGAGACGTTGCTAACATAAATCATAATGTCCCCTGCCTTCAGACCACCATTCATCCCAAAACTCTAGAGACTGCTGCAAGCTGGCCAGCTACTGAATAACTTCATTTTTCACTGTGGTAATCTGAAAAACCCCACCAGCAGCTCTACAAGGAAATATTTGAACCTTCAAGTGGTGGCAGTGACTCTGGCAAAGCACCAGCTAATCCTGTGTAGGAGCAAACCAGCGCATGAACTCCAGTGAAACTGCAGCCAAACTAAAAACTGCTTCCCCTCCGTGCCACTCCTGCTATGCAGTGATGTACAGGGATGGGAGCAGCAGGATTCTCCAGGCTGCTGCACAAACCTTGGGTCATCTTCAGGGCCACCCTGCTCTGGACACAAAGACACTGCTTTGCTCACCCCGTGGCTTCTCTTGACTTTGTGCGTTGGCAGGATTGGTTTCAGCTGCAGAGTGGAAAAGCTGCTTCACATGAATTTGTCAGGAAGAAGCAAATAATAGGCATAATAACTGAAATAAGGCAGGAAAGGAATTTCTCCCTCCATCACTCCCCCCACATCCCTTCCATATGAACAAACAAGACCAGTTGATTCTCCAGAAGGCACCGGATAATTAATTTCATTTCCCAGCTCTTGTTTTATCAAAACAAATATATTTAGTGGAGGCTGCCTGAACAAAGAAGTGACAGTGGGAAACTGCCCCTGTGGTCCTAATGCAGATGTGAATCAGCAGAACAGCAATCCTAGGAGAAGCCTTTTTCCTTTCTTTTTCATTCACATATGGTTAGATAACACACAAGTGTCTCTCCATTTATACCTACTTATCGTCATAGAAATATTTTTGTTTACTCTAACACACACACACACATATTTCCAAGATTGGAAAAGCAGCCATGAAGCTCTTTAGAAAAGTTATTAAACTCTCAGCCATTAAATGTTCATTCCTCACTGGAATCTCACTTGCCAGCACAAATAAATCTGTGAAATAGGCTGAAATGTTTGAGGTGATTTGTGACTCCCTTCAAATGGATTTCCCTCCCATTTGAGAACAGCAGCAAATTTTGGCTTTTGCAGCAATTTGGGTGCTCCAAGCAAAGCAGAACATGGGTGATGAAGCCTGGGGGGCTTCCAGCAGACCTCCAACCATGCAGAACTGAGCTGCACCCTGAGAAGCTTCTTGCAGAAAACCTTGGGAACGCACTGCAGTGCCACTGCCACGAGTGGAGACGGATCATTCACCTCATCCTCCAGCCCTGCCCGTCCTACCTTGTCCTTCACTGCTGGCTGTGCTTCCTCCCTTCCACCCCACATCCCTAATCCTTCACCACACAGCTCAGTGAAGCCCAGAGGAGCCTGAGTTGATGACATGCATTATATTTTCTTCAGAAAGAGCTTGACAGCCCAAAAAGATTCCTGACAACCACGATGCCACCACCATCAGCAGTAATTGTGTCCCCTGCCACGGCCACTCAGACAAGGCTGCCGTGTCTCCTGTCACCAGGCTCACTGGGGACAGCCCTGTCCTGAGAACTGCCCACCTCACCAATGATTGCTATAAATAATTAACGTGTATTCCTCTAATCCTTTGCTGGAACCACGGCCTCCCTAACCAGGGCAATGCATCACAACTTCCAAACAAACACTTGGCAGCAGCACGCGTGGGAGGGGGGTGTGTATAGATGTTTAATGGTGTTTCTCTTACAATCGAGGTGCTATAGCACTTAGGAAAGGCAATTTTGGTGGTGGGAGAAGAGGGAGAAGAATATTGATACACTAAATACAGGAGGAAACACTATTAAACTTCATGCAACTACCAAGAGCCACTAAAAAAATCAAATCTCATTAAATATCTTTTGCTATTTAAAATCACATTTAAATGTGCCTGTGATAGATCTGAGCTTTAGCTGCCAGTAATGACAACTGCATTTCTGCAAGGAATTTACACATGATGAGATATATTTTATACATGTTTTTATTAAACAGTCACCCGAAAGCTTCAGCATCACTCACAGAGCTGCACAGCAAACACACACAGCTACGATACTATTTGTACTGTCTGATGCAAGAAGGGCTTGGATAACATTTGTTTAGTCAAGGACAAACAGTCCTGGGGCCAGTAGTGGATGGGTGGAAAGGCAAAGTTGGGTAACACTTCCGGCCTGCAAAGAAACAGAGTCCCTTCAGCTGAAGGGTTCTTGGGGAGAAATGCAGATAAAACCAAACTGAACTGCAGTCCAGGTCACACTCCAAGGGCTGCCTCTTCACAAATAATCACCACAGAGTTAAGGAAATGAGTCCTGAGGTTCAAGCAGGGCCTTAACAAATACCTCTCGTTTCTCACCCAACCACAACAGAAGGCAGCGATGAGGAAGGCCAGGGATGCTGTTCCAGAGGGTGGTGTCAATCATCAAAGTCGATTCTGATGGGGCCTCCTGTCAGGACGTGGTCTGCCATGTGAACAGCTCCCTCCTCCTGCTCCCGTTCCCGCTGCTCGGCCGCCCTGCGGGCGCGTCTCCGGCAGCCCTGGGCACAGCGCGACGTCTCGTCCAGAGCCCCGCACACGAGGATGCGGCAGTGCAGGAACACCTCCTGCGGTGGGGACACAGCAGCACGGTCACTGCACGGCTCTGGGCACCGCTGGCCACCAGAGCCAGCGGCACAGCATTCCTGTGGCACGCAGCCCGTGTCCAGCATCGCCGTCCGCAGCCAGAACGGCCGCTCCGATGGTTTCCTTGTGTGCCTTCTCCAGAGAGCCTGGCTGAGATCTCAGAGCCAGGAGTGGGGAGACAGGGGATAGGAAGGTGTGGAATGATCCTCCAGGTGAAGGGATGAAAACAGAAGGAACCAGCTTGGAAGAGCTCACATGGACTGGCAGGAGCTGCGTGCCATGAAGGCGGTGAAGCCTCGCAAGGATTGATGGAGACGTGCGAGAGAATTTCAAGTGAGCTGGGAAAACAAAGCCAGGAAACCGAGGGGAAAAAGGAGGAAAACACAGGGTGATGAGAGGCTAAGTTGAGGGAAGAGAGAGAATGCAAAGAGCAAGGAGACAGCTGCCTTTTCTCCTTGCACTGCAAAGGGAGTGACAGGACTGCTGCTCCCTGCCCTGTAAATGACAAGGAGAGCAAGGAAGATCCCTGCAAGCAGCAGCCACAAACACTTGGAGGGTTTGAAGCAGAATCCATTGTGCAGGATGGGAGGATGCAGGTTAGAGGCAGCAGGGGTAATCAGAAAGCCAGGGAAAATTCCTGAATTTTAGATCTCATCTGTTTTAACCCTAGTGGGGCTCTCCAGCAGCTGGAGCAGCAGCTTTTGGAGCAGGCAGTGTTGGCTGAGCATAACAAAGACTGGAAGATCCAATTTCCTCCAAGAGAGAAAGGAAAGCTATTTGCATTAGGAAAATGGCATTATCCTTCCACTGTCCTCCCACTACAGAGCTTCTGCCCCAGAGAGACAGCCTGGTTTCACATTGAATTAAGCAGTATGGTGGCCTTCTGTCTGGAGTCCTGGCATCTCTACTCACAAGAGCTAGAGAAGACACAAGGTTGAAGAGATGCCAAACTAAAAACTGTGTTGTTTTAAAGACAGGGTACTGTGAAATGTGCCTGTGACTGAGAACACTTCTCTCACCCAGCAAAGAAGGGTCCACCCTGGAAGTAACAACAATTTTAGCCTGCTGTGGCACTGATGTTCCAAAACTGTCCTCCATATTTTAATTTTAGTTGTTTTTATCAATCTCTCCTGAAGTACCTGTGTCAGGCTCCTGTAAGGTGCAACTGCTGGAGCAGGCACAGCAGCATCTGCTTTGGGCCAACCATTCCATACCCTTTTCCAACTTGGTGCTGAGGCTCCTCAGTCATATCAGAGCTGATGAAATATCTAAGAGTTGAGTTTTGAGCTTACCTTGTTGTCTTTGCCCACAAACTTGAACACAGGAACCTGGAAATGCTTGGCAAGATGGTCCTTTGACGTGTACTGCTTCACAGAATCATCAGAAACACAGCTGAGGAGAGCAGAGGGATAGGCTTTAATGGGTTTCCCAGAAATGGAAAAAGAAAGAGAAAAGACATTCCAGCCTACTTAACCAGAGAAAGAAAAGGAGGGATTGGTTCTCTCAGGCTCAGCTACCATCTCTGCTACTTCCTCTTTGGCCACAGGAGAAAAGTGGGGAATGATGGGGAAAAACAGCAGCATTGCTAATAGCATCTGCAGACAAGCTCAGCATCAGAGGGCTGGCAGGACATGGCCCAGTCCCCTCAGAGAGGGACTGCCAGGGAGCTGCAGGCAAGTGTGTCCTCATTTCACCTTCCTGTGCAACAGCCTGCAGTGTTATACACAACAGAATGTGCTATGCTCTTACTGTATACACGTAGATATGCACATAAATTATACTAAAATGAAGCAGCCTGCACCCCCATTACTAAAATATGACAGATGATTAAAACAACAACAATCCAGATTTACTTTGCTTTCCTGCTGGATTTGGTCAAACAGCTCAAATTCACTACACTAAACATTTATAATTTCAGTTTTTCCATCACTGGCAATGCAAGATTGTCCGAGAGATTGCAAAATTGCAAGAAAATAAGCTGCTTTTATAACAAGCTACATTCCAGTTGTAGTGCATTTATAAACTATTACAGCCTGCTTAGTCTGACAGACAAAAAGTAATGGTGGCTCAATAATTACTGCTGGTTATTGCAAAGCCTTGGGCATCTTGAGAGGCCCTGATGCTGCTGTGAAATTGCATTGCAATGCAGCTCATCCTTTCTAGCAATTTAATTCCATCAATGTGGGCTTTGAAAGATATCTAAAGAACACAAAAACAACAAAGTGGTAGAAGAGGTACTGGTGTAGCTCAAAGTCTTGCTCTTGCAGCAAGTTTCAGCTCCCATCTTTATGTGAAAAATGTGCATGGCATTGTCAGCAATGCTGATGTTTTACATGTTCAGTTGTAAAAACGCAGTTCTGCCTTCACTGGAACCTTTGGGAATCTCTGTGCTGTTAAAATTCCTTTTTAAACAAGGCATCTGGTCATAAGGAATGACAGTTAAAGACTTTTCCTAGGTGAGGGGCCAAGCTCTAGGGCCATGAAGTCAACTCATAGGCATGTTTTCATTTGTGAGCATATAAACTGTGATGATTATTGGACACTGGCTCAAACTGACTCCTAAATCCCGGGTTCTCCAAAGGTTCCCCACACTGGTGGAAGGAAATCTACTGGTTTGGGGCTAGGGAAAGTGGAAGAACACTACAAAGGAATCAGAGATACATAGACAAAACCAGCTCAGAAAGCTCATGAGTCACAAGGGCAAGTCCTTTTGCATTTATGGGGCCAGACCATATCTCACTCTCCTAGGAAACCCCCAGAGACCCTATTGCCCACTTTGGAGAGGTGAGAAGAGATAGCTATGGAGGGAAAAGGGGTGAGCCTGGTCAGGATATGGGGAAAATCACCCTATCCCTGTGCATCATGTGCTTGGGTTTGGGGAGCAGAGTGGCAGGGCCATGGGAGCTGTGCTCTGACCCTCTTATTCAGGCTTGCAAGGTTGAAAGGAAGGCTTGCACAATGAAATATCCACCTCAGCCTAACAAATGGGGCAGCCTGAGGCAAAACAAGATGAGCTTTGCACCTTAAGCACCTCGTGCTCTGCTGAGCCACAGCTCCTGCCCTCACCAGCGACACGACCTTGCTCCAGATGCCCCAGAGAGCTCCAACGTTTATCAGCTGTGCCATCGGTCAGTGCCTCTGGTTCACTTTGTTTTCTGAAGGCAGGCAATTTACAGAGAAGACAGCAATAGAGGGAATTTTCCCATTCCTCAGCCCGAGGTATAGCCCCTCCAATTTAAACAGTGTTTCCCTTTGGAATATGAGGTTTACTCTTGCAGGTGTGATCCTGATAAACTGTTACAAAAATCCCATCTTTATTGCCATGAGCTTGTGGGGCTGGATTTCTAGAAGGAAACCGAGTTTCTACAGAAGTGTCTGGAGCAGGGACAACGTAGCACTGCATTCAGCAATTTAATTTTGAATCACTGGGGACACTGGGGACTGCAGTGATGGCTGCAGAGTGGAGCACTTTTCCCTTCAGTGAAGTTTTAATGCCCTCTGCAGGTACCAAGGGACTGCTGGTGCCATAAATCCTCCAACCAGTGCTGGGGCAAATTAAAGAGATGACATTTCCTGCCTTCTCCATCCAGCTCAGGTTTTGGCTGCTGTTTTGAATCCCATCATTTTCACTCATGGGGAGAAAAGAATGAATGTTTGGGGCCTTGACTCTGTGAAGGGTTCACAGGAACAGCTAAGCCAGGGAGTTGATAAAATCAATTTTTCCATTACAGATCTGCTCATAAAGCCCAGAAATGTTGGGCACAGAAGGACTGCAGCCTAGGATGGAGGGAGAGCAGGCTAATGCTGAATCCTCTGTCAGAAGGAAATGAAAACAGTATTTCTGGTTACTTTACAGCGCAGGACCCTTTTGCTACAAGACAACCACACAGGACTTGCCATCAGCAGCTGTAACAGTGGATGATTTAGTCTGGCAGCTGAGGACATGATTGTTGTCAGCACTAAATGGTCTGGCAGGCAACATACAGGACTTACACAAGCACAGTCCCTTGACTACCAGGCTACAACTCTTGGGTATGTCTTAGATATTCCTTTGGCTGGATTTCCCTCCCTAGAGGACAGCAGACTGCCTCACAGCTATGACATTTCCTCAGAGCCGTCTGGTGAAGCAGCTGGATGCAAACACTCCACAGCAATGCTGTTGCATGGCACAGTCTTTTCAACACCAAAAGAAGTGTCTGAAAAGAGGGATCATCTCAGGAGCCACAGCTGAGCCCACAGCAAGGCTCCCCAAACCTCTGATGCAAAAACCACTACAAGAGTGAACCCACAGATCTGCACAAAATTATTTTTAGCATATCCTGGAATGATCACTAACCCCAAACACCTCAAAAAAATACAGCCAAAGTTGATTGCACTGACAGGCATCAGGGAGAGCAAAAGCAAGAGATTCTCCTGCAGCTCCCACCAGAACTAGCAGTGGGTTCTTTTGACTCACGCTATAATAACGCCATTATAAGAAAATTAAGAAACTTGCTCCAGTTGCTGTGTCAGCTGTCTGGCAGCAGCACATGGCCATGGGGGTTCTGCACATTGGCTTGGCACTCTGTGGCAGGCAGAGAGAGGATATCAGGAAAGAGAATCTACAGCAGCCAACTCAATTATCCACAAGGCCAGTGACAGGGAAATGCACCCTGTAAAGGCTGCACTTGGAGGAACTGCCTCCCACTGCTTCTCCCAGTTCCTTTTGATGGGACAGGTGGTTTCAGCATGATGGCTGAAACAGGCAGGGCAGACAGGCTGCTGTGGAGAAGGGACAGTGTTTCCTGCATCACCCAGACAACTCATCCCCATTAAACTGCCAGCAAGAGAGGGAACAGTGAGCTCACCCATCTTGAATCAGGTAGTACTTCAGGATCTCGTCAATTTTTGAGGTGGGAGTGGCAAAGCAGCTCTCCACCAGCGTCTCCAGCCCGCTGACGTGCACCAAGGGCTCAATCCCAAAGTACAGCGAGTCCCGAAGCTTGAGGGTGGGCAGAGCACCCCTGTAGGGCTCATCAAAGTCCTTGTCCTTGAAGATCTCCAGGGTGAAGGGGAAGACGCCCTGGTTGCGGCTCATGATTTCCAGGGGGGAGTTTTTGAGGTTGGGCACGTAGCCCTCGGAGATGGTGTAGCGGCGCGGGAACTCGCACGTCACCGGGATCAGCAGCTTGCTGGTGCGCACGATGATGTCCCCATTGCTGCCCGGGGTCTGCTTGGGCAAGCCAGTCACCAGGTTGGTGGCAATGATTTTGTCATTTATCACCTGCAGCGAAGAAAGGGGAGATCATCGAGAAAGACCTCTCTGGGTTGATGCTCAGAGCAGCCACTGAAGGCCCAGCTTGTGAACTTACACCCTGTAGTGGTTTTGGTTTGCTAATTTGAAACTGTTTTCTTGTGAGATAGGATTAGGAGGAAGGCAAAATAGGCTTAACTTTAAATGGTATAAAGAGAAACTTTATTACTAGGAACTATAAGAAAAAGAAACGTTTTAGGCCACTTTTCCTCCCCCTCCTCCCCACTTATTTAATATTGAAAACGTACAGAAAACAACTCAGTTAGTTTACTGTTTCTAAATTCGTCTTTCACTAATTTACTTGGGAGAGGAGACTTCCCTGTTAAGTTTATGGAGATTTCTCCACAAGAAAGAGTTTTCTAGTGGTCTTGATGTCATAGTGATCAGCTTCCCGGGAGAAAGGAATTTTGATCACTACATAAAAATTCCTCCCTCAACTAACAGTTTTTTCAGAACTATTACTGAGGACCACCAGAATGGAGCTGCTTATCCTCACAGACCAAACCCTGGTAGGTCCTTGGCAAAGCACCACACTGGATCCTCACCAGTCGCCAGTTTAACCTTTGAAACATTACCAGGAGACCAGAATGTGTCTCAGCAGGAGGATGAAGAGTGAGGGCATTTGGACCTTCTACCCCTGTGAAGCAGCAGGGGAGCAGAAAGCAGCACCCATGCAGTCAGACACACAATGCTGGAAGGGGAGATGGAACAAACTCTCTGACTTTGGTCTGCTTTGAGGGCAGCTGCATGGCAACACAGGAAAGGGCTCTGAGGGTACAGCTAAATCAGCTTCATTCCCCAAGCAAGCCCCAGCCAAATTCCCCAATCCCAGAGAGTGGCAGTAGGTACACATACATCCACCACAGTACCACAGGACTTCAGGGAGAAATGGATGTTGACGTGAGTGCCGTTGGACACGCCTTTGCACGAGGTGTTGATGAGGGAAAGGTCCAGGCCTCCAACCAGGTCCTTTGGGATGTTCACCTCAATAGAGCTGGACTTGCACAGCACTGGAACTGCAAGAGAAAACTCCAGAATAACTGTGCTGCAAACCCACCAGTGAGCTGGGGAAGGGCTATACCAGTTATATTTGGGGGAAAAAAGAGGAATCATAGACAGCATTTATGGTTATGATCCTACCACAGTACTGTAAGTACCCACCTTGCATTCCCACCTACACAACACAAACCACTGTCCCAAATCCTCCAGCCACAGCAATGTCTCAGAAAGCAATGAAGACAAATCACTGCACTTTCAGCAGAAACGTAGCTGTGCTTTCCAGCTTCACTTTAATATCAGCACAGATTTGGTTGATATCTCTTGCACTGCAATGTCCTGGGAAGAGCCTTTGCTAGATATGGGTATCAAATTCACAACACCCCAGGCAAAGCCATTTTTTAAGACCCTTAATCAGATTTTACATCAAACCCAGAACCTGCTGAAACAAGACAGAGTAATTCCATATAGATACCGAGCTAAAATGGAAGCACCTCAAAATGCCATAATAATATTTTTATAAGCAATAAACCCAGCCCTGACAAACAAACCCAATTAGCTCACTCATTCCACCTCCTTCCAACCTTTAAATTTTAATACAGGCCTCCGTGTGAATTTTTTTACATTAAAGTTTCATTACATAAGAAGCAGGAGAAAATGGAGCTTGGACAAAATAAAAAATGAAGGAAGAGAGAATAATATTCAATAAAAAAGTAGTTGCTGTATAAATATTCCTTGGGGATGTTCAGTTCAGTTAGAGACAGGACAAACATACTGGTGGCATATATCCTGGTTTCAGCCAGAAAAACAAACCTTTTGCAGGATTTACATTTATTTTAAAATAAAATCCCACGGCAAAACCTTTTTTGTAAATATACTCGTTTCCTGAGATTTTTGACAAAATTAATTGCAGTCCCAGTCCTTGACATTCCTATGACCTGCATTCCCTTAATTTCAATCATTGATTATATAATTGAGGATTCTGGATATTTGATATAAGGCACACTGCTAAAGCAGGCATTTTATTTCACCCTCCTTTAAAATTTCCCTGTCCCAGCTCAGGTATTTGCAACAGCCTCTGAGTACCTCCAGGGTGCATTTTTGATTAAAAGTTGATAATTTCAAAGTGATATGCTAAAATGTATGCAGAGTGCCCAAAGCAATATGTTCCCATAATGACACTGCTGGGTTAGAACAGAAGCTTAAAGAACGAAAAATTACCTTAACCTTCCCTCCACTGGCAGCAGAAGGTAAATGGGAATAACTGAGCATGTCAAATGGCTCAGGAGCAGACAGAGGGACTTGGAGAACACAGAATAATGCAGACAGAGAGGAACATCCTTTGCAGAACTGATTGGCTTCATCTGGATTTAAGCACTCGCTGTTCTAGGGCTTCTTGATAAATAAGAAAATGTAACTGCTTTTATAAAGGTGACATTCAGGGCAAGAGATTTGGATCCCAAGTGCAATTCTCTGAAGTTCAGGACTGATTTGGTTCAGGATCTCTCTGTTTCTGGCACAAAGTGAGAGAAAAGAAAACTCTCCATTTTCCATGTGCTCCAGAGCTGCAGGACCTGTGTGCCCTCCACCACCTGGACACAGAAACGAGTGAAGGGAACCTCTTGACTCAAGTCAACTCATGGCTATTTGGGAAAACACCCAGTGTGTGCCAGTCAAACATTCTTCACCCTCATACTTCTCAGAGCACCTATGAGAACAGGGAAAGCCTCCTCATTTCCACTTTAAACTCTGTTTTGCACCAATGCCTCTGAGCACCTGACCCTGGGAGGAAGCTTCTGTGGTGAGTCCAACACTCATTTCTCTGTCTGCTGTTCTTACTGGCACCATATTCCACCCTCTGGCTTCTTCCTTGGCCTTTCAAAGTGCTGCTGCTTGGAGCAGAGGCTATCTTCCTGCACAGACTGCTCAGCAGAGCAGGCTCTCTGGTCATGGGGAGCCCTGACCCACTGCTACAAACATAAACCCTGCACAAAAATTCGGGCAGAGGACAGGGGGAAAGAGCATTTCATCCCTACTCTTCAGGAAGAGGTGGGGTAGGATGGGCTGCAAAACTCCAAGTATTTTGCTGGCTGGTATCTTCGTGGAAAAATTGCAGCCTCTAGACTCTGATTTCTGTGGAAGATTATTAATGTTTGTTCTGAACATGGAGACAGTGCAGAGGGGAGATCTGAGAGATCTCAGAGAGGTTGCAGATCCAATTGCTTCAGGCTACCATGGCTGCCCTGCACTGTTAATTGAAGCAATATAAACCTGATTAGGTGTCATAAGAAATTGTGTGGTGCAGCTCCATACCTGAATCTCAGGCCACAGCATGGGGGAGATAAATCCATGAATGCAAAAGAAAAGGCAATTTCACTTTATGAGATGCTGTATCTTGAGCCCCAGCCTGGCTCCCAGCAGTGCTGCTGCCCTCATTAGCAGCCTCACAAACAGCAGAAACCCTGGCTGGGAAATCCAGGACTTCCAACCCTGCTGGGGTTGCCTCAGGGGCTCAGGACTGGAAAACATCACTCTGTTCTGGCCTGTATCCATCAATCAGATCTTCAATCACTGAGTATGATCACAGCTCTTGGAAATCCCCACCAGCACTGCTGGATCTCGAGTGGGCAATGCTCACCCTTGGGAGCCCTGCATTTCTAAAAAGCTTAAAAAGCAGAAATTCCATCAAGTAGAACCATTCCACCTTCCTCTCTGAGGCATTCCTGTCCTTTTGGCCACCATGAAGCCCAAATCTGTCCCTCTGACTGATATCTGGGCACTCTGTGGCACATCAGACTGCAGGAGGTTCTCTGAGCACACTAGGCAACACCAGGCTGCTGGTAGGCTGGATGAATTTGCAAAAGAAATCTTTGCAAAAAACAGGGAGCTTGTTTTTTTCCATGTGCATGCCATAGGCACAAGTGACTCAGCATGAAGGACTCCCTGTGGAAAGTTCAGATGGAAGGTTCTCCAAGGATAATGCTGCTCTGGCCTCTACACAGCAGAAGTAAAAGTCAATTTTTAGATGCTATCCCGGGCACTTTTCCAAGGGGCAGCAGGAGCACCTAATATCAAAGCTAGTGCCATGCTTCAAGGCATAGGAATGCTCACTGGAATGGCATACTTGGAAAAAAACATGCCTCTTTCTTTAACCCCATTCTTGGAAGGAACTGGACTGCTTTAGCTGGGATTCTGAAGTTTGAAGCATGGAAAATGTCAGTTCTAACAGCATAAATTTATCAGAGGTGTGCACAGAGCACAGAGCCCTGTGGCTGTTGTCCTGCCTGGATGGAAGAGCAACATCTTCAGGCTCTCACTTTTGGATGGTCTGTCATTAGTAACAAAGCTCCATGAACCCAGCTGGAGAGGACAGACTAAGGGAAGACAGCAAAAACAATAAGAGAAGTTCCTTCAGACATTCCCTCGGGGGACAGAGACTGACAGGGAGATTTTGTTGACCTACCTTGGCAAGTGTGGTTGTCTTCTGACAAAACAAGTCCCCTGGGACATTCACACTGGTAGGTGTCTTCCACTTCAATGCAGGTGTGGCTGCAGCCTCCGTTGTTATTGTGACAGCCTTCAATTTCTGGGAAAGAAAGGAAAATCAGCACATCCTGACAGACCCCAACAGACCCCTGGCCACCCAACAGTCTGAACAATACAGCTCAAAGGCAACAGTTTGTTTCCCAGAAAATGAGGTGGAGATCCCTTTTTTAACTGTACACTTTTACTTATGCAGAGCATCATGATATTTTTCTTTCAAATAAGCTTAATTGCTTGATTTTTTATTAATCCTTTGGGATGAATATGCTAGATGAGTTCTACTGTTCTCAGTAAAATAACATAAGATAAGCAAATCATAAATATAAAAGATTTCTCCCCGAGCCTGCCATCAGAAATCACTGTACGGTTTTCACTGATTTGGAAAGAAAAAGATGGAAATCCCACACTCAATCCTATATAGTGCATGGAAAATAACAGCCTGAACACCCCATATGAGTCAAAGCAATGGGTAAAGCATCGTAATGTAAATTTTGAGATACTTTCAATTCTACTCAGCTTCACCAATTCAGCAATCAAGCTAAATCTCTTGAATTTGTTCTTTGCAGCAACAAGCTGTGAGGTGGCTCACACCTCACATCCCATTCTCTCACTGGCTCACAAAGCTGAGGGCACATCTTCAGAAATAAAACTCACTAACAAGATTGTAAAAATCCCCAGCAGCAGTGTTAAACTCCTGAAAGGCACCATCCTTCTTACAGAAGGGAAATTAAATGATATATCAAAGGCCCTAAAAGCCAACTTGGGGAATGGCAGAAACAAACGAGTTTCCAAACAGACTATTCCAGCCCTGTCAGAAGAATGCAGCACTTGGGAATAAAAATTGCACAGCTCATTTATGTGATGCCCCAGCAGCTCAGAGCTGGATGTGGCAGGGACAAAGCCCACAGACCATTTTGGGCTCACATAACTTGGCAAGTACTTAAGGAGCACTCTGCACAGCAGCATTTCCCAGGGAACTGTCACTGCCTGCATGAGTGATGTACCAGCAGAGCTCAGAGAGCAGATTTAGCTCTTTTGGGTAACCAAAAACTGAGGCACATCTGTAGTTGTTTTTCTTGTCTGAGGCCCCACAGAGTCTGTGAACAGCACCCAGCAGCTTTGCTGTGAGGGGGCACAGTGCTTTTCCACAGCTCACCCCAGAAAACATCAGGCACACATCATTTTTTGCTGGGTTTGCCTATTTCTGCTCAGGGATGTTTGTACATTGTTAATGACAACACATCAGGCCCACAGTTTGGTCTTTAAGCCAGCAGTCTAAATTTATCAAGGGTTTTCAACCTGGCTGTGCCACCACTGTGAAGGAACAGTGACAGCTGCACGGAGCAGCAGAGCCCACAGACACCAAAGAGCAAAAATGCTGCCCAAATCCTAAATTTTACTTCTGTCCACAGATTGGCACTCCCTCTCCTCAATCTCTGTCCTGGGAAGCTAAAAAGTCATTATCTCATGCTCTAGTCTAATATCATGACTTTACCCCGTGCCTAATGTGAGCTGCCAAAAATCAGAGCTGCTAAATCTGCCCTCACAAAACTCTACCACACAAATCTCCAGAGCCAAATCCCAACAACTCCAGCAACAAGTTCTGCCTGGACAACCAATCTTCCAGATCCACTGCTGCCTGTCCTCTGTGGAGATGAACACAAGCAAATCCTAACAAAAATGGACAAGGCAGGGACAGCAACAAGGAGATTTCTCTCTGCTTGCTTAGAAGGATATTTTAGTATCAACATCTCTGGCAAGCACAGAGGTGATATCAGTGACATTTAATCCCAGGTGCAAGGAGCCAAGAGAGAGCCAGTGTTGCAAGGGAATGATTTCTACAGTTTCCAGCAGCCTGTGGGAGCTGATGCCTCACCTTCACAGGTTTTCCCATCGCTTCCCAGCGTGCGCCCGACCCCGCACTCGCAGCGGAAGGAATTCTTCAGGTTAACGCAGAACTCGCTGCAGCCTCCGTTGTTGTGCTCACACTCATTTTCATCTGAAAAAAACAAGCTCTGGAACTGAATGGAAAAACAAGCTCTGGAATGAATAATCCTACTACAAAAGTAGTAATACTCACAGTAGCTTTTGAATCTCTTGGTAAAGCTCTGAAAATTCCTCTTAAGTTTTGTAAAGGATAAAGTTGCTCTGTGTCTGTCTGTCTGCCTTTCTTTTTTTTGTTTTTGAAAAGTACTTTCTTATCTGAGATTCTAATTCCTGAACCTGATTTTATCTCTGTGTGCAAAAAGCAAATCAAACAGAGAGGAAGGGGCAGACATTGCTCTTGCTGAGCCACAAAATGGATGATTTCTCTTAGGCAGGCCAGGATGCTGAAGTTATCAATCGAGGTTCACATGGGGTTTCATCAAAACAGCTTAGAAGCTGGCATTTATTAGGTGTCAGAAGCTTAAAACCAAAAAAAAAAAAAAAAAGAAAAGTACCATTTTAACAGACAGGTCAGAGATGAGCTCTCCCAGGTGTCTGTGGTCACACACATGCACAGTACCCACAGCTGGCAGCTGGTGGTGGTGTCTCCTTCCACAAGCAACGTGAATTGAGTATTTTTAGCCAGACTTGGCCAGTACCCCCCTTTAGGAGGCAGGAAGCACATCCAGGAGACTCACACAGACTCTGCTTTTCACACATGTGACAGGCTCCACACTTTCCCTTCTAAAAATAAAACCAAAGCTGCTTAAAAACAGAAGGTGAAGAGGGAAAGGGCTACAGGCAAAGTCATGGTGATGTTGTTAGAAGGGTCCAGAGATTGTCTTGGTCAAGGGCTGGGCCCAGAAATTCCCCTGACTGGTCGTTTCAAGTTCTACAGCACACACAGATCTCTGTCCCTGCTGTCAGATCTCTGTCCCTGCTCTTCTCCACCAGTGAGAAGCAGCAATTCTGAGATGCAGGCTGGTTGCTTGAAACTGGATTGGGACAGTGCTAAGCTGATTTTAATCACAGCTTAGCAGAACATGGATACAGGCATTGAAGAAGTCAAAGGCAATGCATGGAGTTGGTGGGTGTGTGACAGGAAATCTAAGACCTTATTTAACCCCTAAATGAAAATGTAACTCAGGATCAGCCGTTCTGCTCTGGGATTTAAAGCATCAAATGTACTGAGATGCACAGGGAGCTGCACAGAGCTGCTCAGCCTTCACAGAATGGTCTGGGTTGGAAGGGACCTTCAAGTTCATCTTGTTTCATCCCCTGCCACTATCCCAGGTCACTCCAAGCCCCATCCAACCTGGCCTTGGACACTTCCATGGATGGGGCAGCCACAGCTTCTCTGCTGCCTTATTGCAGCAGCTTCAGTCCCCTCTTCAGGGGAGCTGGGAAAGGAAGCACAGTCTCTGTTTAGGAAAGACAAACAGGGATTTATTTGGTTTCTCCGTAAGGAGGACACAGTTGCTCTCAGAGATGTGACTGCACAATTACTCAGCACAACAGAAAGTTGTTAGAAAGATCACAGAGCCATCCAAGAGAGGCTGCAGGTAGATGAAGCAATGTGATCATTCCAGCTGAGGTGCTCTGCCATCTGGGAATCTGGAGGAGAAGCAGCAGTGCAGAAATCCTGCTCGTGGGGGAATGAAAGCAGCTGCAGCACACACAGACAAGCTCAGGACTCCTGTGTGCCCCCCTGCTGCAGGAAATCCTTTCCTCTGAGCCTGCCACACACTCACTGAGTGCTAGTGCTTGTCAAGGGCACTTGTGTGACTGGAAGGCTTGCACAGAAGCAGCCAATAAATGCTTTTAATTATCTGAGAGAGCTCAGTCAGCCACTTGGCTGCAGGCAAGTGGAGCTGCTTAAGCAAAAGCCTTCCCCAGAATCACTGTGAGCAAGTGCAACTCTGCAGCAGGACCAGGCTGCTCCTTCCACACACTGGAATGACTGTGGACCCTGCCCTGGTGGTCTCAGACATGGGGTATGTGAGGAAAGAAACCACCCACATCTGCTTTTTCAGGTGTAGCCCCTATGGAAGAAGACTGACCTGCCACACAGCCTCCTGGACCAACTCTGCTTTCAGCTTCACCACCAAATCAAGTGACAGATGAGATTCCTCCCCTCCTTTATCTCTTCCTATCCATTGGTGTGGCTCTGCAGCTCCCCAACAGCCACCCCTTTCCAGCACTCTGGTTTGTCCCATCATTTTCCTGACCTCTCAGTCCAGGTGCTCTCCCCCAGCACCACACACACAACTACAGCCACTCTCTCCTCAGAGCTTCCTGGGGATTCCCCCGCAAATCTCCAAAGTCCATGTTCCCCACTCTGCTCTCACCTCCCTCCTGGCCATGCTGGTCTCTGCCACCAAGTGCCAGCTCCTTGTCATGCTGCCTAAAACCACTGCAGCTGTGGGGGGACTTGAGAGTTGTTTGGGTCTCTTCAAGCCCGAGGCCTTGGACAATGTCCCAAAAGAGCAGGAAGTATGGTGGAGTTTAGTGTGCAGCCCTACAGCAGCCAGCAAAACTTCTTTTGGAGGAGAGATATTCAACAGAGCATGTGAGAGGAAATCTCTAGTGCCAGACTGCACAGCACTTCCTGAGTGCCACAGTGATACCACATGATCCTGCACCATCATCTTGCACAGAGACTCTGCCACTGAACCATGCAGAAGGCAAACCCAGCCTCACAAATGTGGAGCTCCAGGGGCACCAGAATGGATGCAGTCATGGGATGTCATATCTTGGAACCACTTAAAGAATCACAGTCCTGGTTCTAGGCAGCAAATAGGAAAACTCCTCTCAGGATATGTCATTTTTTATAGTGCTTTGTAAGGCAAGGGATTGAGATGTGAGCAAATGGAACAAATGGAAGAAAAGCACCAGTAAGTGGCACAGCTTATTTCCACCCTTACCAAGGCATGTCTGGCCATCAGGTCCTAGTGTTGTACCCGGGGAACACGTGCAGTCACTGGTGTCCAGGCAGGGGCCCTGGCAATCCACCACATCACAGATGTCATAAAAATCTAGGGCATGACAAGAACAGCGTCAGCACAAAGCACTGAGCATGCAACAAAAGTACAGGATTTGCCCCCTCAGCTTCCCACCCTGGCCCACGCTGGGAAAGCTGACCTCGCTGAAGCTGCAATTGAGTCTAATTGCTGCAAGTCAGAGATGCAAATTTTGACTTTGCATAAGACAAACCCCAGGGCTCACAGGGGGCATTAAATCACTGAGGCCATGCTGGATCCCAGAAATCTGGGGGCTTTTGATCTTTCTGTGCTTTCTGACACTGACCCCCTGGAGAACACTGCTTTTGGCCTGAGGCCTTGGCTTCCAAATTTGAGTGATGAAGCTAAAATCACGGGTGTGTAGTTAAATAGAAGTGTGTGCTTTCACATGGTCAAAGGTTTTAAATTTGAGGTTTTGACGGTATAGTAATAGGTATGGGACAAGATAAGGATTTTGGGTGGTGGCTCAGTGTTCATATTCCTTCTTCTTTATAGCTTCAGGTAGTAGTTTTTGGTTAGTCAGTGTCACACTGAGGGTCACGGGAAGTTAGTTATTGGGTTAAAAGGATAAATAACGTAGGTGTTAATTCTCTATTGGACTGTTTAGCTTGTAGCAGCTGGATCTTCCTCCGTTTTATTCACTTCTAGCTGGTGGCTAGAAGTGCTTCTGAACGCTCTGCACTTTTTGATAAGATTTAATGAACAACCGAGCCTGAACATGAGAAAACCCGTTTCCTTAGTGCATTTTTTAATCCTGGCTCTGAGCGAAGGCAGAAACCACTAATTAAGTGATGCAAAACTCCCACCGCTGTTAAAAGGCCGGGTCAGCTGCGGGAAAAAAATCCCGCCAGCGGAACAAAGCGGGCGAAACGGCCTCACTGCTCCCGCACGGAGCTGGAGAATCCCAGCGACCAAGGGGAGGGCACAGGGAGGTGACTTACGCCCGCAGTAGGCGTGGAAGCAGACGCTGGGCTTGGTGAGGTGGTACACGTAGTACCCCCCGGGGCAGGCCTTGACCTCGATGGTGGCGTTCCAGAGGCAGCAGTTGCCGCTGAAGCTGGCGCAGGCCTGGCGCCGCACGACGCCGTCGGCCTGGCGCGGGTGGCTGCCGTTCATCCAGATGGGAGCGTGCGTGCCGCAGTGGTTCTCGGCGATGCAGAAGGTGGGCATGGCGTCGCCGGCCATGCCCGTGAAGCGGTACCACTCGCCGTCGATGCCGCTGTCGCACGTGGGCTGCCCGTGAGAGCCGTTGATCCGGTGCTCCGTGTTCCTCCAGGGCTCGTTCAGGCTGATGTAGGCGGAGCAGGGGTCCAGGGCTGGGACACACACACACACACACACACACAGAGAACAGCTGCTAGGTGTCAAGTGTGGAGGGAGCAGAAAACATTCAAGGAAGTCCCTCTGCATCCCCAGAGCAGGCCCCTTGGAAAACCATAGCTTAAAGATAAGAAATGGCTTGTTAAATGATGAATACAAAAAGGAATCCTGCTTCCCCCTTTAGAAGACCCTCTTATCTATCTCTAATATTAGTGGTTCATTTTCTTTTCGTATCTATAGGCTAGCTTTGAATATAAAATCATGGTTAGAATGTAGAATTCCCTTGGTAATTGGTACAAACTGTGAAACCCTCAAAAGATATAAAAACCCCTGTATTGTAAAACAATAACCGTTGTATGTGCTAGATTGGATGCCTTCACAGAATAAACTATGGATTTGTGCCTTTCTACATATGCCAGTCTCTATACCCCGCTGGTCTGAGTGCTCGCTGCGAGCCAAAATTCTATCTGGGCAAGGCTCAAGGACGTGCTCCGTCACTGGGGACTGCTGAGACAGTTTGGGGCATCCCAAAGGGACCCCAAAACCCCACCGGCGACAATCAAGCATTTTTTTTTCCTCCGTCTGACTTAACAGAACTGTTGTGATACAGAGAGATCCCAATGGAGAAAAGGTGATGCCAGCAAACTCATTGCCTTGTGGAAAATTCTGACAGCTCGTCTCCAAGGTCTTGGAGGAACAAGTAAATTAGCAGGGCTTCTACAACATTATGCAACAGTTTGACTTGGTGTTTAGCTAATGGGGGGAAAAAACAAGATGCAAGCAAATCTGAGGTCCAGGTAATGATTTTGCCACAGGAAATATACTCTGGGATCTAGCCTAGTGTAAGAGCCTGATGGAGAGATGGAGACTTCAGACAGCTCTTAAAATGCTGTTTGTTGCATAGACGAGGATACAGCAGTCGGGGGTTGTGGGTGAGCCTAGAGCTCACCCTGGCTATAGGCAAGCCGTGTGTCCTGAAGCTCAATTCCATTCATAAAGCATTATATAGTTATAAAGCTTATAATTTAGTTATAAAGCATTATAAACTTTTCATTACAGAACATCCTAATACATAAAACCAATCAATCCTTTTACTATTACCTATAGCCTATCATAACTACTAACATTACCACATTCATGTTACTATTTTCCAATCACAAAAGGTTGGTATGTTACAGTTTAAGCTAGAAGTTGTTTTTCAGTTTTTCTGCAGTGGAGAATGCTGAGATCTTTTCTCTACTTGCACCATTGGCTTTCTTGTTTGCCTGTGAAAGTCCTTGTGTTTGGTAAAAACATCTTTTTTTTGAGGTGGATTTATCCTTTGCTCTAAGTCATAAAAGCCCCTTCCTGCTCACTTGCTCTTTGCCTTCTAGTTACCCAGTCAGACTGGCTCAGTAATTCTTTTCTTCTATATCAAAACTTGCTTTCATTTCTATAGAACCTGCTGTATATCTGTAAAATTTTTCTGTTAAATTTTCGTCCTTCCCACCAGCCTAGGACAACAATCCTTTGTTCAAGTACTAACTGAGCACCTGCAAGCTCCTCCTAAGGTCACTGGTGACTGTCCCAGCTGCCTTGGAACAAAGGACTGTATCTCAAACAGGTTATGCAGCCTCTTTTAAAACCCATCCACAGCCAGTGTTAGCCCTCACAGCTGAGCTGCCAAACCTTTTTACTCATTATCTGATAATCTAGGTCTGAATTGGCCCCTTCTGGGGAGCACCACGTTAAACCCTTCACACAGCTGTGCTCCTTGCAAGCCCACAAACCCCCCTGATCTGCACAGGAGATCAGAAGCTTGTGAGTGAAGTGAGTGTTTGGGGGGCAAGACATGAACACAAGGACTTCCTGGTAAGGGCATGTCTGTTCATGCAATGCTCAAGCAGTGTGTCCCTTTTCAGAGGCCTTTCTGAACCTTCTGCAAATAATTAAAATATGAGAGTACCATAGGGAGAATGTAAATGAAGAATTTAAGTGTTCATTAAATTCTCAGTCTCCTCCTAATTAACCCTCATTTGGCAGCTTCCTCACTGGAAGTCCAGAGGTTCCATTTTGCCTTACATTTAATACCTGATTAAGCACAACTTATCCATGACAAGCAATTCCCTATTAAGTAAAAGGAATGCTAATACTGCCCTGAGTAAGGAAAATTGATTACCATTTCCTAAATTAGGCTAATAAAACCAATCACTCTGACAAAATGCATCTTGGACTGGAACAGCCTCAACTTTCCACAGCACATTTCTTTTGAAGTTCTAAAGCTGTGCTCTTTTGTTTTGACAATAGTGTGATGGAGCTTGGGTGAGGGAGGAATACTGTGATCTTTCTATTAGAAACAAAAACGATCCTGGTTCATTATTTTGATTTGTTTCACTGACTTTAAAGTGGGAGCTACAAGTGCTTCAGAGAATAGACTTCAAGTCATTCTTATTTAGCTGCGTCCTCTGTAAATATCTGTCCCACAGATGTGCCACCTCCTAGAAATATCTCACAAATAAAACATCTCTCATGCCTTCCTCAGCCACAGATACATTTTGCTTATTCTCAAACCCAGCAAAAAAGGCAGGAGCAGCTGCCAGAGCCGGGAGTGCTGCAGAGCTGGCACAGGGAGCGTGAATCTGGGTTATGAAGGAATCTCCAGTGCCACGAGTCAAAGATATGCAGGGGAGTTGATTCACTGCCACCACAACCAGCCTCGCTCTCCTGAGCAGCAGAGAGGGGAATGCAGCAGGGAATTTCTGATGGGATTCACCAGGCATTCCCTGGTGAGCTCTCCTTTTCACCTGCCTCTGCTTCCTGCCCTTACCCCCAGACAGCAGCAGTGCTGTAAATCCCATCTTCCAAAGGCTGGTTTGACTTCTCCCAAAGGGAAAAGTTAGGTCCTGAACGGAGCTTCCTCGGGACTTCCCTCACTGTAATTCCCTTGGTTTCCACAAGAGGATTTGGTGTGGCCTTAGGGTGAGTCACTGACTGAGATGAAAAGGTTTTCGCGTTGTTAAAAGGCAAATGAGGTGAAGCGGGAATGCCCTGTCAGCTTCCCAGCTGGGCAGCACTAAAAATACCAACACTCTCATTAGCTTTCGTGTAATTATGAAATATCCTTTGTAGACAGGCTCTGGGAACGCTCATCTAGGGAGATTACATTGTCTGCCCAACATCCAGGAGATAATTTCAAGATGAAATTTAGTGAGATGAACATGCAGCAGCTCAGAGGGACATGGAAGAAGGCACGTCAGGGGAACTGAGGTAGCGTTCCCTCCCATCTTTCATTCCCCTGAGAGCTTCTGGCAAACAAGTAGAAAAAGCAGACAGTGCTCTTTGGAACACTGCAGATCCTCACAGCCACCTTTGGACTGCCAGTGCTGCCCCACACCAGCCTCCCTGCAGACACCAGGTGTCTTTGGCAGCACAGTTTTTTAATTTTAACTAATTAAATTGAGCTTTTAAGAAAAAAATTCCACAAAAACAGAGAAGCAACTGATCAGCCTCTCACCTCTTCTCTCCAAACAACAAGCTTGGGGGCTTGCACAAAATTAATAACTGTCTCCAGCTCACTATTTTTCATTTTTCTTGGCTCAATTCCTTTCCTCCTCAATGCCTCTTGCGTGGCCTGAGCAATTGAGGCTGACAAGCGTTGGCTACGAAGCAAAGCTTTTCCATTTGTAAGCTTGATGCTATCGTTAGTTCTCTGGCTGACATGGGAGCACACACACCCTGGGTGACAAATCAGGCTCCAGTGAGCACTGGTGAGAGCCCCAGCCTGCAGAGATTAACCCTGGGTGCACTGTGCAACTGGAGGTTTCTGCTCCAGCACAGCTAAGCAATAAAGGGAGCAGCACTGCATTATGGCACTAAATTCAGTTCAGATTTGTCAAGGAAGCAGGTGAAAAGCGAGCACAGAGCCTGTCCTCCAAAGGAAGAGGAAAATCCCACAGTGCCTTGGCAATAGAGGTTCTTCCACTATGGGAGACTTCACACTTTAACAGAAGGATCTTTCCAACTGGAAGGAATTTCACATCACCTTCAAAGAAAAGGGATTCTTCTCCCACCTTCCAGCCTCTCACTTACGAATACCAAGGCTCACTGTGAACCTTAGAAATAGCAAACACAAATTAGGCAATGCCTCTTTACTCACCCATCGAAGACACTGGCTGGAGCTGAACAACGAAGAAAAACAAGAACTGGAACATCCCACTGAGCCGAGGAAGAGCCACCACTCAAGGGACAGAGGCTTGAAAGTCCTTGTACAGGCTGTGGCTCTTGCTGCCTTCCTCTCAGTGGAGCTTCTGACTGCAAGATTCCAAGTGTGACTACTGTCCTGGAAGTTTATCAGAGGAAGAAGCCAAAGGGACGTGGGCTACAGCTCCAGCCTTGACCTCCCCAGAGCAGCTCTGCCCCTTACTGACAGCAGGGATGTACTCACTGATCAATCTTGTTTTTTAGATTTGACCTGCTATTGTTTTCTGCCCTGACTGCCCTGCAGTGACACCTCCACTATCTTATCCAGAGAAGAATTCTAACCAGGGACACCCGGACATCCCGAAGGGATGGAAAAGAAGAACAGATGGGTGCTTGTTATCTGTGCTCCTTCCACAAGTCACACTCCAGGGCTCCCTCCAGGCAGAAAACACCAACTAAGGAGCCTTAACTGCAGGAAATGGTGGCCAAAGGAGCAGCACTGGTCCTTCCGAGCACAGATTGCACAGGAGTGCTTGGAGCAGAGCTACAATGAGAACATCAGTCAAACTGAAAGACGGGTGCTCCACAGGGAAATGAGCTATTCCTAGGCTACACAGAGACCCTTGCCACTCCTGCTCACACAACCTGACCACTGCAGCCAGATTATCCAATAAGGCAAGTAAAGACACTTTCCTGCAGTGCTCTTACAATCCCTTGTCTTGAAAAAACAAACTAATCCCAACGTTATGGAAATTAATTTTGATGCAATACCCAGTAATTGACAATCTCTCCTGACTAGTTCAAACCAAACTGGGCTGAGTTGTAGGTGACAGCCACGAGCTCTAGATGCAGCACACTGAAATGTGTTCTTTACTACAGCAAACCCAGAAAGGGCTCTTCCCTCTTACCCCACCCCAAGAGCTCTCCATCAGCAATGAGTGCAGCTGAGCCCACAGTAATCACACAATCAGGCAAACGTGGGCATTTCCCCATTCCCTTGGCATCCTGCATTTCTGCAGCAGGCTGGCCTAAGAAAGGACACCAAGCTTCAAATCCCAGCAAGAAAAAAAAGTGGCTCCATTATTGAATTTGCACAGGACAGGGAGTAGGGTGCTTGTCTGTCTTGCAGGGAGTGTACATCACAGAAAATTCTCAATGGCCTCTCTCTGTCGGGGTGTGCCCCTGGGAGTGAAGTGCAATATGCTGCTCTTCTCCACCCCAGCACAGGAGCCTTTTTTCAGTGGTGAACAAAAAAAAAAAGCTCCAAATAAATTACTGTTATTGCTCCCATAAGGAACAAAAATATAAATTCTTGTGGCTCTATTGTGCTGACAGCTGTACAGCAGTACCAGAAAGGTTTTTCCAACAACAGGAAAGGCGAACAGATTCACTACACAAAGCTATCAAAGCAGATAACCCTCAAGAGGTGATTATGTGAATTCCCAGAAGAGAAACTAAAATTGAACAGAGAATAATACAGCCAGCCACCAGAATTTCTATTTTGCCACTTTCATTGAAAGGCTGGTTCATACTTCTGATGCCAGGTAAATAAAACTGACAAGCCTGAATGGAATGCTCTGTGTCACAGGTGTGTACAGCTCTCTGAAGCATCTCTTCACCAGCTGCCTTTGTTTTGTAGCTGCTGTATGAGCCTGTTATAACAAGGTTTTGACAGATACATGTAAGTGACTGACAGCTGACAATTAACACAGAGAAATGAACTGCAGCATCACAAATTGGAGCTTCAAAGGTGTCACCCACAGGCCCTATCAAGTTCTCAAGAATGGATTAAAGCAGGAGATATCCCAGCATTCCCAGAGAGGACACTATCCCAAATCACCATAACATCTAGTTGAAGGAAATGGTCTCAAGCTGGAGAAGACAGTCTGCTACCTCTAAACACTTCTGGGAAGAAGCACCAGAGGCAATTCTTCTATCAGCACCTTCCCTTTGAAAGTAAATTTGGTTGATATTCACAGCTCCAATTCCCCCACAAACAATCTCAGGGAGCAATAAGAGCCCTGAGAAATAAACGGAGAGAAAAAGCCCAGTCAAAAATCCTTCCTGCAAGGAGATGCTTTGGGAAAGAGACAATTCCAAGAGGGCATTCTATAGGACCTGCACTCTGCAGCAAATGTGTTGTTCCTGACATCCACATTTGCACCCCAAAGACTGATGAGCCCAACGCACCAAAAAGAATCAGGCTCAAGTTAGAATCTCTTAAAAGAAGCCACCAATACTGTTTAAAAGATATGAAGAAGGAAGGCAAAATGAAAATAAGGGGTAGGGATTTCATTTTGGTACCCAAGAGGGATTTTCTAAACCTGCTACGAAGCCTGTGCATATCTGTTCTTAACACAAGAAAAATGCTCATTTTGCAGGTGGCAATTCTGCTTCTTGTCCCTCCCAGAGATCTCTGCAGGGCTTTACCATCCTCACACAAGGAACTCAGATTCTTCAAAGCATTGGCTGTGCTGGAAAGCCTCCTACAGTTTGTAATGGACTCCTGAATAAAAGTGCTTTGGCATTTGCTGAGGTGATCTTGGCTTTGTCAGAGCCATTCTCAGTGCCTGGGAGGTGTGTGAAGCACAGGAACCTGCAACCTGCCTAGAAGGAGCAGGAGGAAGAGCTAATCAGCACTTCCTGCTGGAGAGAGGGAGGAGAACGTGGCACACAGGACAGGCTTTCTTGTCTGGGATTGATTGGAGGATGCATGTTCACAATAAGCCCTGACAGGCAGCTGAGATGGATTGCACTCAAGTCAAGGACTTTGAGATAGGCCTTGCTGCTGTAAACAACTTGTTCCAGGACTCAGAGCAAGTGGGAAAGGCTGTGGAGATCAGAGAGGGAGCACAAGCTGAGTGAAGTGTGGGCAAACTCAACACAAGTACAACATTGAGAACTCATTTAAATCAGGCAAGTACATCACTCCTAGTTAAGAGTAGCAGTTATTTCCTTTCCCTTAGTGGAGCACTGTGATGGCAGAACTTGGTGTTTTGAGAGTGTTTTCCCACAGGTCCTACAAATCCAGCATACTTTCCATGCTCCTCCGTTTTCACATGGAGGAATTAGAGCACAAATAGCCCAGCAATAACTGCAAAACTAGTCAGGGGCAGAAAGAGAAGGAGGACTCATCTTTTAAGAGCCCTCAGAGCCACAGCAGCACAGCCTAAGAGCAGCTTCTCTCCTGCTTCAGGACTTAGATACACTGCAAGTCTAATTTCCATTACTGGATTTTATGTCAGTAAAGAAAATAAGCCTGATGAGGTTTATAAAAGGAATAATTAGCATCTCTTGGGATAGGTAGAAGAATACTTCAGATATAAAAATCTCCTTCCTCTGTGAAAATGAAGCCATACAATGGGGCACAGAGGAAAGAAGCTTGCTTTTGTAACTCCACATGCACACAAACCCCAGGGGATATCAGAGAAATTGGTCCACTGGCTCAAAGACAGGGCAGCTTGGCCAGCTTCACATGGCTGGCTCAGTGCCATGGTCTGACAGCCAAGAGCAGCTTCAGAGCATCATGCAAACCCTCTTAAAGCCAATATGGAAGAATAAGAACTTGCAGCAAGGTGATCATCATTGCTGCCTGCCAGGCAGGAAGGGTTACAGGGAGAAAAAAAGAAGGGTTTCTTCTTTGCTCCTCAGGAAAGAGGAGCCATGAACACCTTCCCTGGAGGGGCCTGCAAGGTAGAGCCTCATGGGTGTGAAAAAGAGAACTTAATGCAATTCTCCAGGAAACTGAACTGGTCATAATTTATCTGAAAGCTCCCTCACAGAAGGAGGTTAATCAAAAGAATGACAGAATTGGTAGAAAAAGCAGCACTGCAATGCACCCTGCTGCTTCTCCCTCACCAGGGCTGAGGAATGCAGTGGTACATTAAAATTCAGGCAGCACTGCCAGGTCTGCATGTGCTGCCAGGGGGACAGGACCCTGTCACCTGCCTGGCTCCCAAAGGGGAAATAGCTGCTGCAAAAGAGTGTGTTGATGTTGAGATACAACAGTGTGGATCAGAAGAGCAAACAAACCCTGCCCTTCCCTTCAGTGTTAGCATTCCAAGGCACTGAGACTGGAGTGGGAGGCTTGTGGATTTCAGGGCATAAGGGTAGACACTTTGCTTACCCACACTGTCTCTAGAACAACATTAAAGCATGTGCAGGAACAGTTTTGTAACAGCATCTTCTTGCTTTCAAAATAGAGATGGTGGTGCTAAGATGTCACAAAGTCTCCTGTTCTCCTGGATGCCAAAATGGGCGAATTCTTATGCAACTGAGCCAAACAATTTACCTAAGGGTGGCAGCAGCTCACCTGGGGACTGCAGCAGACTAAGGGCTGCTTTGAGGAAGGAAGTCTGTCAGCAGTGATTGGCAACAAACAGCTTCCAGCCCTTCTCCTCCAGCTTTGAAAAACACCAGAGTTGGCTTTTTCAAAAACTAGCTAAACATGGATGGTAATTTTTTTAAGCAGGCTTGATTGAAACCTGCACCAAACATCCTAATAAGCCATAAAGTTATGACAAAGCACACTGCTGATTGCCAAGGGTAATGAACAAATCACCATGACAAATCAAACCATTCCAGCACCCAGAAAGAAAGGAACTGAAGCCTAACACTCCAGTTTTTCTCCAAAACAGCACTTGAGTGCAGTACAGAAATACACTGACACCACAGGTACCTCTTTTGGGCTGCTGGGCATTACCTGCCCGTTTATATTCTCATCCTGTTCCTATGCTGGCCAAACAAAGGAAGATCTTGGCTAGACCAAGTATCTCTACCTCTACCTCACCACCTCCCGAGATCCCTGTTAGGCAGCCAGGCCTGGCAGCCAGCTCTCCATCCAGGCTTCTTCAGCAAAGCCATTATCAGCATCACCACGGCCTCGGGGAGGTAAGGTCAGTCAAGAAGACACAACCTAAACAAAAAGAAATGGAGGAAACTCAGGAGAGAACTGCCACACAGGGAATATTCTCTTCTCAGCTGGGGAAAATAACATTATGGAAGAGCACTGATTCAAAAATTGAATAGTTATTTATTGTTCCAGAAGTACATTGCTCTTTTATACATATTTCATAAATGATACAGGATTTTACACATGTTCAGGTTTTTTTTTTTGTTCTTTTTTTTTTTTTAAAGAAGGACTTTTCTCCATGCTCCCTCCCTCATCCCAAACACACACCAAGGATTCAGCTACAGGATTGTGTTCACTTTTTTTCCTTTTAAAACTCATCACACAAACAGGATAAAACAGATAAAAAATAATCACACAACGTAATTAAATGGAAAGACAGAGGAAAAGGGGAAGGGGAAAAAAAACCCAAAACTAGAAACATGCACCCATTCGGTCCAACATGCCACTGAGTGAGAAGAGGCAGCAATCCCAGCTGTGTTTCCACATCTGCAAGGCACCTGGCATCTAGTTAATACTGAATTATTTTCTTTCCTATATTTTTAAAACATGGCTCTCCAAAAAAACCAGAAGCCTCTTTCCATGACACAGTGAGGAGTAGTAGTGAAACATCAAAAAGAAGCAGCCAGCCTTTCTGTATATAAAGCTTAGTGTCCTTCTCCCACCTTCATCCTGTCTCCACAGCATTTATCAGCAGGGTGCTAAACCAGACTGACCTGCTTTGAGTGAAGAGATGTTTTATCTGCTTAGAAAGCAGCCAGCCTTGGCTAAGAGAGAGGGCAATGGGTTGACCTTCCTTCCTTTATTTCTTTTTAGCTAAGAACAAGAGATGTCATTAGCCACTCCTAAGAAATTCTGACCTGTGGACACGAAGTTCACTTAAAGCTATTTAATCAGGGGAAAGTGCTACAGAACCAAACCAGTTCTGTATCCTGCACTGTAAGATCCCCAGGCTCTCAAAAAGCCTCTGGGCAAGAGAAATGCTTTGAGGATATATGAAACCTTCTATCCCATTACACAAGCAGTCGAGCATCAAGTTTCATTATTCCATGCTCCAAAACTGTTCATTTAAAAGCAGGAGTCATGATTCCAGCAACAGTTTTGTAATCCTTTAAGCCTTCATAATTTCATAGTCCAGGTGGCTCTCAGATTTGGGGTAGGAAGAGGGGAACCTCCCTCTCTTAAGACTGAATATAAAAATCCGCTCATGCAATGCTGCCATGGATTTCTAGGAGGAGCTCAAGGGCATTGGGACGCAAAGTTTATAGAGTTATTATTACGGAATAATCCAAAATATCAAATGTCCAGAAGAAAACTCATTCCTTCTCTCACTTGGCTACAACCAATCTGTGCTACAAATAAGCAAAGGAGGAAGTCAGTGGAGCACAGGGGGTGGGCTGGGAAGGGGAAGCTCACGGTTTTCCAGTAGAAAGCAGTCTTGTAGTAACTTTATAAAAGAGACCAGGTCTGACCAGAAGTGTGCGTGTTAATGGCGGTGGAGTGCAAGTTCTGATCACCAGCCAGAGCTCCGGGTGGCTTGGATTCTTTGTTGTTTTTTTTTTTTTTTTCTCCTTTTGTTTTTGTTTTTTTTTTCAAGAGAGAAAGAGAGATTGGAATCAGGTAAAGGAAAATTTAAAAAGCTAAGCAGGCTGCTGGTGTCTTATTAAGAGGCAGACCCTGCAAAGCTGGAAGAAGACACCCCAACACCCCAGCATTACATTCTTTTCATGAACCCCCCCAATCCTGTATTTGTACACAATCGCCATTCTGACAGTTTTTAAAACGTGACTATTTGCCAAGCCCTTTTCAGAACTAACATTCCACAATGTCCCATCTTCAGATTTAAGAGATTTTTTCCCCTTTTACAGTCCTTTGTCTTGATTAAAGGTAAAAACCCTCCACCCCCCACACCACGTCCCAGCTTCCACCTGCAATGCTTTAATTAAAAAAGGCAAGAGCTATGAACAGGTTTTTTGCTGGGGTTCAGAGCTTCTTTGCTGATCAGTCCTTTTCAGAAATTTGCTGGATGGGCAGATGAACTTGCAGTGGGTCTCGAAGTCTCTTAAGGTCCAATTCTGCCTAAAAGTAAAAGACACATTATAAAGCACAAGCTCCCAAAACAACTTCCCCCCATTTCCAACCATTTCCCTTTAGAGAAAGAAAAGTTTTCCCGCATTTCCTTGGTTTTTTCCCTGTCCAGCAGGAAATTACCCAGGGTGAAAAAAAGTTGCAGGTTCATATTTAGGAAAACAATTCTCAGCTGTATTTCTCTGAACTTGTCTGCACACAGCCACTTAAAGGAATAGGTTAGGAAAGATTTGGATCCCTGTAAACTCACTGGAATATTTTTTATGTTGAAAAGCCAACAAAAACCCAACAAACAAACATCCCAACTAGATTATTAGGGATGGTTGATTCTAGAAGAAAAGCTCCAGGAAAATATGGCAGAAACCCCAGGAAGACCTGTGGGTCCTTCCTTCTGCAGTTTGCTCTCCAAGGCTGGGGTAGAACTCATCTTGCCCTGGATATCTCACACTGTCATTTCCAGAGCCTGGAAATAAAAGGATGATAGAGAGCAGTGAAAAATAATGTGGTAACTCTGATTTTTCTGCTCACACCATCCTTCAGCAATAAGGCTATGAAAACACAAGGAAACATCTCTATCAGGGTCCTTGCTGAACAGATCCCACGGTGTGGATAATCTGTCAAGAGTGTCTGTCTCCAGAGTCTGAGAAATCTGCCCCCACTGACTCGAACAATACAGCCACATTTTCTGAACATTATTTTCCAGGACTGCACTGAAGGAAGACCTGAACTGAATGGATGCAAGACTTCATTCCTCACTAAATCCATCTGGTGTGTAGGAGCTGAGAAGAAAAGAAATCTTGAATTAGGCTCCTCTGAGGCATAAAGACTCTAAAGCAACTCAAGATTTGCCTGCAGTTTCTGAAAGGCCTCTAAGGATTGATATGGGTTTCATGTTGATTTACACTTCCAGTAGTTCTATTCCTGGGAATATCAAAGCCAATTCAGTGATTGCAGTGGGGCTGTGACAAGAAAATGGGCTGAAAACCTAAAATACATTCATTCTTGCTTGAGGTGTGTCTATTAATAGTAATGAAGAGCTTGCAAGCAGTAATTTCTTTATCTTGTTTCTGGAAAAATTCTTGTTACCTGAGCAATTGCATCCTTGAGTTGATTGTATTTCTCTAGATCAAATCGTGTCTTTTTGGCTCCTTTATGGAAAAATAGTAAGTACTGTCTGTCTCTGGCATCTGGATAAACATATTCCTAAAGAGAAAAACAGGAGAGAAAACAGGAATAAAGCTACAGCAGGGGGGCAGCACAGGATGCCATAACACAGGATGTCTCAGGTGTGTTGGGGAGAATGACCAGCTTCTGACAGAAGGTACAAGCCTGGTCCAAGCTCACACAGTGGTGGGTGACCCCTGCCAGCAGCTAAACCCCCACCCAGTCACTCACTGCTGCACAGCTGGATGGGAGAGAGAAGAGAACTCAAAGGTAGGGGAAAAAAAAAGAAAAAACTATGTGTAAAGTTAAAGACGGTTTAGTAACTGAGGGAAAAAACCCACAACAACATAACAACAACATAAGAATGATGCAAAAGCAATCACTCACCACCTCCTGCCAGCAGACCAATGCCCAGCCAGACTCTGAGCAATGGCTGCTTTGGAGGAACTCCCTCCCAATTTATTACAAACTGTGCCATTATGGGGTATGGAGTTTCAGTTTGATCAGCTCAGGGCAGCTGTGCCAGATGTGTTCCCTCCCCCCAACCTGTTCCCAGGGATGGGAAGAGGGGGGTTGGAAGGGGGCAGACCAGGGAAGAACAAAAACCAGAGAAGGCCTTGATGCTGTACCAGCACTGCTGTGTTACCAAGTGCCAAACACTGCACCACACCAGCTGCTCTGAAGAACATTAACTCCATCCCAGCCAGATCCAGCAAAGTCAGACATTTGCTTCTCTACTCATTTGTTACACTCCAGCAGTGAGTTACTATCACCTTCCATCCATCCCCAGTGTGTGAATCCTTCCATGCAGAGACGACGAGAACTAACATTTCATACTGACAAGTTTGTGAGGAAAAAAGGAGGGAGAAAAGCTATAAATACTGTCCCTGAAACGATGCAGCTGACAGACCCTTGGGACACCACGCTGGGACACCTGCAGCATCTGTTTTGACAGCCTTGTGACAGTAGAGACACTTGGAGCCCTCCCTTCCTCATTATTTAGGCAGGATTAGGAACTCGTGAGACAAACCACGCACTAGAAAATCCACAGGGAATGTCACAATTACAAGGATTCAGAGACGGATTCTCTATCTGGATGGGAGATCTCTGAAAGGCATTTCCAACAAGATGCCTGATCCTTGGGATCTTTAGAAAAGGCTAAAGTGGCATGTGAGGGGGGTGGACTTTCTTCAAGCTCAGAAGTACCTCATGCAGCCATACCTGTCTGTACTGACCATATCTGCCAGCAGATGAATCTGTTTGGCTGCAGCAGTCAGCCACCAAACACAGAACAGCATTTCTGGTAAGATAACCAGCCAGGACCCCCATGAGAACACCCCACAGCCACACACCACCCTCCCTGGGCAGCACAAATTAAACAAGTGGCATCTGGGCTCCAACAGGATAAGGAAAGGCAAAGCAGCTTCTACCAGGCACAACTTTGCTATTTTTCTAGGGAGCAGAGCCCAGAGAAAGTCTTCTACTGAAGTGTCAAGATCAGCACAACAAGTCCTACCTGGCGTGTCATTACGAAATAAGCATACATTGCCATGGCACTACCATAGGTGATGAAATAGGTCACTGGTTCCATAATGTCCCAAGAATATTCCCACCAGGTCAGGCGGGCCAGAATCCCAAACTGAGTGGCCATATAGGCCAGGCCTCCCCACAACACCAAGGTTGTCCTCTTCTCTGCTTTCCTGCTGAGTTCCATCCTTACCTGCAAGAAGGCAGAAACACACACCTTGCAGTCTCAGAAGGAATTATGTTCATATTGTTAAGAGATAATAATAGTCCCTTATATCAATAATAACATCAAGTGATTTGAAACATGATTTGATTACACATGATGCTTATATAAACAAACCTAAATTTCTTTTCCATCTTTATCTTGTAGTCATCTATATTTACTCTGAGCATGCTCTGAATGCCTCAGGAAAGTATTTATTTCTCTATGTTCAGAGATGTTCTGTTGCATTAGCCCCAGTCTTTATTTACTAACAAGCTCATTTCCAATTATTTAAAGCAAGGAAACAAAATATTCCAGAAACCAGAAGCAGACATGGTTTGGTAAACACTTGGTTCAGTGATCTTAAAACTACGTGAAGCATGCCAAGAACCCAATTAAAACCTGGAAATATACTCAGGCTGCATTTGGAGGATAAATACAACACACTGAAAAACTCCTTACTTTTTCTAGAGGTGCTAGTTGCTCCTTCAATTGCTCTAGTCTCCCTATCAGCTCCTTCTCCTTGTTCAGCTGGTGCTCCTCGATGCTCAAGGCTGTGTACAACTGCTGAACCAACGTCTTCACATCATTCAGCGTCGTGGCATTTTCATGGCTTAAGAGCTCTAGGGAAAAACAGAGGCTGCATTTTACACCTGTGCCCACAGGGCTCCTCACGTGCCCTTGGGAAACCGCTATTAGTCTGCACCGGAAATGAACAAAAAATGTCTTCTCAACAAAGAAGTCCTTGGAAGAGCTCCAGCACTCTAAGACAATGTGATTCCCTTGAAAGAAAACCAGGCTTTACTACTGGATATTCCTAAAATGTGATAAGAACAAGGAAAAGAGAGTTGTCCTATAAAGCTGGCCAGATGTCAACAGCTGCTCTGATTCATATTTATACACAAGACAAATGAACTAAACTTGCTATGATCCAGCACAGCAGCTGTCAAGACACACAGGCAGAATTCAGACTACAGACCACCAGCTGTTAACCAGAGTTATTGGTGGTGGCAGATGAACATTGTGGGTTAGGGACCCCACAACAGCCTCAGCAGCAGCCAAGCATTTTGAGTGCCAAGAATTGTTTCCCAATGCTTGTGTGTTTCCCTTGCTGTGCTGCCTGCAAAGGAGCAATGTTCTCCCTCACTAGAAACAAGCACAAGGCCACACCTCAAAAACACCTTTATCCTTGCATTCTAACTCGAGAAGGATTCCTAGAAGATACCAGCTCACAAAGGAGTTGTGACTACTTGTATTTTATTACAGTCCACATGGAAAAAAACAAAAGAAGAATTTTGAAATTGAAGCAAAAGATTTTGACATTAACCAAATAAAATTAATTTTTGTGGAATCCTTGGACTTGTACCTAAAGTTACCAAAATACGATTTTACCAACTCAAAAAGCTACAGACAGATTAAGTTTTAACACCAGCAGCTCAAGAGAAAAAAGGGATTCAGTTGCCTGTGCCAAGAC